TAGATTAGAGTAGTATATATGCGTATAGCTATTAATGCTTAGTCTATTAAATTTAGATTAGATAGCTAGTATAAAATATTAGTTTTTTAAAACTAACTCTAGAGGTTATATTAGATACTTAGTAGGCTATTAAGCCTTAAATATCTATAGAATATAGATCTCTTTGCTTAACTAAGTTATTATAACTTATAATATTAAGTTTAATAAAAGTTATTTCTTTTAAGAAAAGAATAATAAGAATATAGAAAAGAAATTAGCTATTAAATTTACTAATATCCTGCATAATAGTAAGCTAGATAATCTAGGTCTTTAAATTAAAGATAGATTATACTTAGAAGAGCAGTAAACTAATAATATTAGAAGAGATACTAGGAGTAATCTTAGAGATAAACTAATTATATAAACTAATTAGATAGCTAGCTAACTAAATAATTAGAGAGTTATATAAGAAGAAACTACGCAAGATAATAGCATAGCTAGCAATTAACTAAGAATTTACGCAGAACTTCTAAAAGATTAAAATTAGCTTATAACTCTAGAATCTACACCTAAGCTAGGTAATATAGAGAGAAACTTAGAGCTTAATGCTTAAAGTATAAAAAGAGATAGCTAATAGTAGATATATCTAGCTAGTAGAGCTAGCCTATCTTACTCTAGTAATTAGATTAGATTATAGAAGATAATACTATAGCATATTACCTACTCTGCTACTTAATCTAGAGAACTTAACTTAAATACTTTAGATAAAGTAGATAAGTTACTTATTTAAGTATACTAGCAATTATAGTAAATAACTTCTTCTAATCTAGATATAATAGAGCTATAAACTCTACGCACTTAGAGAATAAGCTAGAGATAATAAGGTAAAGTACTAGAAAATAATTAAGAAATAAGTACTTATCTATCTTTATGCAGAAGAAGAAGAAAAGATAGTAATTAAGATAACTAAATAAGAGGTGTAGGTACTAGAGTATATATACTAATTACTAATCTAGATAATAATAATAGTTTATAGGCTAACTTTTAGAATATTTTCTTACTAAGCATAAGAAGAGCATAAGATAATTAAAAGAGTTATAAATCTATAAATGCTATAATAATAGTAGCTACTCTAACTAATTAAATACTAAATTTAATCTAACTATACTAAAATAAGCTTCTAGACCTACCTAAGACTTAGAAATAACTTCTCTAATATAAATATAAGATGTAGTTTAAAGCTATAATAAGAAAAGAAATTAAATAACTTTATAAGAAAAATACCTAGATAATTTAGCTAATAAGCAAAGTAATAATCTAACTTATTCTATTAAAGTAAATATAGACTTATAAGTTTAATTAAGATAGTATGCTACTTAAGTGCAAAGTATATATAGTTATATAAGAAGATCTTTAAGAAAAAGACTTACTTAATTTAATCTACGCAGTAACTTTAGTAGTAAGATCTTTTTAAGTAACTATAGTAATAGCTACTTATTTTAATCTTTAAGTTATATAAAATAATATAATAGAAGTATTTCTTAATATAAAGATTATAAAAGAAAATCTTATACTTTATAAACTACCTAATAGATTTAAAGAACCTAGAATATGCATTAGGCTTAATTAAGTACTCTATAGAATAAGAGACTTACTACTTCTATAGTATAAAGAGTTTTTAGAAATACTTTAATTATTAAGTCTTATCTTATTAAAAGAAGAACTATATCTCTTCTTTAACTAAGATAAGAAAGTTCTAATATATTTCTATATTAATAATATTCTTTTGCTATATTATAAAGCTTGCAAAGTCTTTATAAAAGACGTATAAAGTAATATTATCTTAAAGTATAAGATATAAGAATAAGAGCTAGCAGAGTAGTTCTTAGATATAAGAATTATTAGAATCTAAAAAAGAGAATAATTATACTAGTCTATAATACCTATATTAAAAAGATTGCAAAGAAGTTTAGCTTAATTAATAGAACTTTTCTAGCTATCTCTCTACTATTAAAGAAGCTTAAGAAGTTTAAGAGAAAATCTATTAAATAAGAAATTAAGCTTTTCTAAAAAAAGGTTAGATTAGTATTATATACTATAATAATGCTGCGCCTAGATATAGCCTTTATAGTATTAAAGCTATTATACTATCTAACTAATCCTAGCTAAATATATATAAGCATAATTAATTAAGTTATTATATACCTATATTATATATAATAAGAAGCAATCTAATATAGCAACTATAATAGACTTAACCTTATAATATATAGAGACGCATTATTTATAGATAACTTAATTACTCGTTACTTATCTTATAGATATATAGCTATGCTTTTTAGAGAAGCTATTCTATAAAAAGCTACTAGGCAAAGTATAGTAATAACCTCTATAACTAAGGCTAAGCTTATTATACTTAAGTATATTGCAAAGAAAACTATAGCCTTAAAAAGATTCTTTAATAAACTTATATTTAATCTAGGCAATTTATAGAAAATCTAGTATAATAACTAGTAAATAATTAGACTTACTATTAGTTAAAATAAGCAAATTATAACCTATCTTTAACATATTAATATATAAAATATATAGCTTAGATAAGAATATATAAAAGAATTATTCTTAGTAAAGTACTTACTAATAAAGAAAATGCTAGCAGATAGACTAACTAAAGCTCTTACTTATTAATAATTTAATTACTTTAAGTAGCTTTTAAATCTTAAAAATATAGTTAAATTAGTTATAGGCAATAAGAATAAAAGTATAATAGTATTAGTTTAATTACTATTAAGAAAGATCTTAAAGACTAAGAAAGCTTAAGTAGAGTAAAAAGAGGCCTTATTAACTACCTACTATACTAAAAGATTATTTAATCTATTAAATCTATATAAGAAGTAAGAAGAACTATGTATAAAGCGTTAAGAAAGAAAAAAAGTTTGCTTAATAGTAAGAAAATTAAACTAAGATACTTAGTCTAGAAGATCTAAAGCTATCTATATAAGATGTTGTCGCAGTATTAATACATAAGAATAAGTGAAGTACTAATCTACGTAACTAAGCTAACTAAGCTTAGGAAGTAAACTAAACGTTTCTCTATAATCTATTTATATATTTAAGCTAGCTCTTCTAATATATTAGAAGAGCAGTAATTAATATAATCTTTTCTCTTAAGTTTGCTTAGCTATAATAGTTATAAGCTCAGCGCTATAGGATTACAGAGTTAATTCTCTACTATGCATCTTATATTTACTAAGTACTTAAATTAATTATTCTACTACTCTTATTTCTCTTAAACCTCTTAAATTATTCTAATAATATTAGTCTAAATAGACTAAATAGACTAGATAAAACTTCTTTCTATAGTTACTCTTTAAGCTTATAAAGACTAGCTAGCATAGTATATTTAGCTTAAAGTTTACGCTATTAGAAAGCAAATATAGAACTACTAGTCATCAATTATAGGTCTCCAGAGTTCGTAGCTAAACTATATTTTATAACTATATTTTATACTCTAGTTAATCTTACTAATATAATACAGCAATAGCCTTCTCTACTCTTATTAAGTAACTTTTCTATATATAAGTCTTAGCATTAAATATTAAATACTAATATTCTAGAACTCTATAATCTAATAGATAGACTTACTGCTAATAAGCTATCTTACTTAGCACCTATAGCAGCAGATGCTTTGCAAACAGCTATATTAAATGCGTTACTCTTAGAATTATTATTATTTATTTAATGCTTACTAGCTTCTAAAGCTTCTTAAGAAAATTCTTCTTATAGCTATAAGAATCTATTACTGCGTAATACTCTACTACTTAGTTTATAAGCATAGCTACTTACTTACTTATTACTCTCTTATCTATATAAGAATTATTTCTAAAGAATAGAGTAACTTAGCCAGTACGTATCGTTAGCTAGCATATCTTAATTATATCTATCAATATAGAGGTATATAATGCTACTACTACCTTATAGTATAATATAACTAACGTTATATTATATAAGAATGATAGTTAGTAGTAAGAGAGCTAATAACTAACTTATAGAACTAATTCTATAATATTAATAACGTAGTAGTATAGCTATTTATCTACTCAGCTGCCTTTAAATATAGCTAGTAAGCTAATATATCTAGATAAGCTTAAATATATAATCTTAATAATATATTAGCTATTAAGCTTTAATAGTATTAAAGATAATATAATATAATCTAGTAAGATTAAGTATTAAGAAGAGTAGCAGATTGCTAAGAAGAGAATATACTTTAATATTTATTAGATTATAAGATATTTAATAATAGTTATAATAATAGTAATAGTAATAGTAATGCAAAGATATAAAGAGATAGAAGACTATAGTACTTAGATACTAATATAAAATTTATCCTTTAACTTATGCATAACTACCGCATACTACCTTTTCTATAGTTAAGTATATTATAAAAATTATGCCTCTTAAGCTTAGCTTAGAGCAGAGTAGTTATTATTATATATAAAGTAATTTTTAAGAAGTTTAGATATTAGTTAGTAGTGCCTACACTAGCCTTACTTAGAACTATTAACTAATACTAGATTATATATTTTATACTTTTTTAATGCTTTTTTATGCTAATAGTAGAGAGTAATTACTATTCTCTTTTAGTCTAGCTTATTTTTTAATAATACCTCTAGTTTATATTTTATATCTAGAATAAATAGACTCTAGTACTATTATTACTAGTATAGAGTATATAGAAGATATAGACTCTATATAATATATATAAGATTAAGATATAAGCTATACTTATTTAATAGAGAGTCTAAAATTATTATAAGTCTTCTATAAGCTTATTAGATAAAAAGATTAGATTATTAAGTAAAGGTATATAGTAGATTATATATAATATAGTATTATAATAGAAAGATTAGATATATATATAAAGTATAATTAATAAGCTTATAAAGCGCTAGTTAAGAAAATATAAGTATATTTAGATAGAGAAAACTCTAATAGTAGAGAAAGTATAGAACTTAATTACTAAGAGAGAGAGTAATAAGTATAATACTAGTAAAGAGCCTATATCTAAGATGCGCAGCGTAAGGTACTATAGATATTATAGTAAGAAAGAATATAACTTCTGCATCTATAAAGTAGAAATAGTAGATCTTAAGGATAGCAATAATTCTAAAGAATAAATTTACTTACTATAATTTTTTATAATTATATTACGCATTATATAATAGTTCTGCGTAGGTAGTATACTAGTTAGAAGTTAGTAACTTACTTAGAGTAGCAACTAACTTATAAAATATATTACTATAATAAGATATAGATAACTATATTCTATTATTACCTAGGTATTATAAGGCAGTTATTAAAGCTAGAGGCTACTAGACTAAGTATTAAATATACTTTAGTTCTATAGATAATAAAGAAATTGCAGTATTTTAACTATCTTTTATAACTATTTTTCTACTTAATAGAATTTTTTAAAATTTAAGCATATTATATATATATATATAAAGACTAATTCTAGAGAGTTTAAGTAATTTTAATACTCTTTAAAAAAAGTAATAGAAGTCTAAAGTTAAGCAAAAAAAAAGAGTTAGCTTTAACTCTTTTTGCTAACTAAGCTAAGTTATAAACTATAATATATTACTTACTAGGTAAAAAGAGCTTATCTTTCTCTTTAAAACGCTTCTAAAATTATAGTTATAGCTCTACTTATTATTAAGTTATAGCTAATTAAAAACTATAACTTTTTAGATAACTCTTTTTTTTTGTTACTCTACTATAGTAAATATAGAGTTTATAAATAAGAAATAATACTTAGTAGCCTAAGAAAAGGCTTCTTTATAGCAGTAAATAGTTTAAAATAATATCTATTTGCTTAGTTTAATTGCTTCTACTTAGGTAATATAACTAATATCTTACTAATAATAATTAGACTTTTTATTCGCTAGCCTATTACCTAGCATATAGCAATATTAACTGCATAGCCTATACTTATAAGTTTCTGTTCCTACGCTATTTGTGGGCAGGATTGTATTTAGAAGAAGCCTAGTTCCAAAGAAGAAACAGTTACGAATGTTGTTATGAGTGAAGCAGTGCCAGGCAGCGACATCCGCGGAAGGATAGCTCCGGAAGTGCGCTAGTAAGCGCAGGCGACTTGTGATTGGCTCAGCAGCAAGGACCCGAGAACAGCAACCACGGTTGATCATAGGGTATCGCGGTTGGCCTCAGGATGTAATCACGCTATCAAACTTCGAAGCAGAGCAGTTTGCAGATACGAAATTTTAGCTATTCTTCCTAAATTCGCAACCATGGTTCATAGTCAGCACCACCATCCCCTCTCTGAACCGAACCACACAATCGCCAGAGCATATTCTCAAAATGCAACTACATAAGCTGATGAAGTCCCTTCAATCTATAATTCATCTCATTCTAACCACCAATTTTACACAGCCACACACAAACCTTCAAACCTTTCCACCATTCCCACCACTCAAAAAACCACGCTACTTCCAAGATCCCTTCCTACACATACACTATGCCTCGCTACATCCACGACAAGCTCTACAATTTTCACATCCCAACCGATCGAACATGTGCATCGGCCTCGACAGCGGCGCCAAACTTCTGCCCAGCGGAATCCATCGCCAACACATCTCTCGACGTGATAGCGACGCGAAGATAGCCAGCCCACCCCAACCCACACGCAAACTCAAACGCAAAGCCTCCTTCGAAGATCTGCGCAAACAAGCGGCTGCAGCTGTGAGTGTGAAGGAGGAGAAGAAGGAGGAGGAAAGGAGGATGGCACGTTGGTGGGAGAAAATTGTGCAGCGGTCATGAAGATGAAGATAAAATGCTTCGTAAAGACTGCATACCCTGTACTCCTCGTACTCCCCAAATAAGCCCTTAAACACAATTCAATCATGCATCTCTAACGTGATACCATGCGGCCCTCCCTCCTCTTCGGGATAGTCCAGCTCAAACCACGTGTACTTGAACGCCTTCTTGCTGTTCACCGGCGTCATCAGGAATTGTGCGACGGTACCATTGGGGCACGGGAACCATCCATCCTTGATCGAGACGTCGCCGGCTTGCGTAAGCGTCACCTCCGCTATGTAGTTGATGATCGAGGGCGAGTGATTCCAAGTATCTTTGTCCTTGTCCATGGTGGGTGTGATGCGGTAAATTAGGAAATTGTACGGCTCTACACCTGAGAGGGAGCGTGGCGCGTTCTTGGTTGGATTGGTGTTGATGTGGAAATTGACGCGGCACGTGGTGGCGGGGATGTCGCTGCGGACATCGAAGGAGATTTCTGTCCAGACATCGTTGCTGATTTCGCCAGACGTTTGGGTGCCGAAGTTCTTGTCGGGTTGGCTTTTCTTAATGGGAACAATGAGGTGGGGAAAGTCAACGAATTGGAGGTCAGCGACTACGCCGAGAGCGAAGAGCAGGGGAGTGAAGGCAAGGAAGCGCATGATGATGGTCTGCGTGGTAGGTTGCTGGATGGCATTGGGAAGATTTGCGCAGAGTCTCTTATAGTCGAAGCGAGCTCAAGGCTATCGTGGTGTAACAGGAATGGAGCGGTCAAGGCGCAAACAAACATGGTCAACGGTTTAGCCTTGCAGCGGTACCTGTGCGACTTGGATAGCCGACGACCGGGCTGCAAATATTGGCTGTGAACCAATTTCATCCATTGAGGGCGAAGAGCTTGAGTGCTGGCGGCGAAAAGTGCAGTCTAGGAGCTTCTCGATGGTCTTTCAATGCTACACTTTACCGCCATCATCAACGGCGGTGACTTATTGTGAAGCAGGTCCCAGGATCGATCATGTCGCTGTGTAAGATGATACGTAACACAGACTAGACCTTGAGCCAGCAAAAACGTGGTTTGCTGCACGGGAGGGACAATTCGGCGATTGTACTCCTATGTTCACCCCCAAGGCGATGCCTCGCGTGGTACACTTCTCGTAACTCGCGCAATCCAATATTGATCTAACCTCACTACCTGCAATCGAGATAAATGTGCCAATATCGCATGAAGACTGGGACTTCAGGAGATACAACGTGCCAAGAGTGCACATATCGCAATTGGTCGCTGGGGTGATGTGGTCGCGGTTCTTCAGGGCCCTAGCTCCTATGGCTCATTCCGTGGAATTGCAACCTCTCAACTCATTCTTCGGTTCCGTTTCTCGTATTGGAACTGGATGTCCATTATTGAAAAGCTGCGACGGACTGCCTTTCAATCTCTGCTTGTGGTGATGGTCGTGAAGAAGTATAGTGTGGGATGCTGTGGGGTCGAGGTTGGAAGGTCCCACTAGCCTCGGCACGTGGGCGGATTACATCACACCCAAACACCTCCACGAACCAGCGAAGCACCATTACACAGTTCAGTCGTCGTTGCCAAACTTCAATGTGCTTCCCTCACGTGTCGAAATGGCACTTCTGTCTAGATTGCGACCCGCCTTGAACAGCGGTGTGCGTCGGCCGCTCGTGCGATACCCAACCGTGACGCGCCGAAGCCTCCATCTTGCGCCTCCATATCTATTGGATGACTATATCCCACAATATCACTTGCTATCGTCCGTCGATGCGTCGAAGAAACGATCGCTAGCCTATGCACATCTGCGCGAGTGCAACTTGTGTCCCCGATTATGCGGTGTGAATCGCTATGAAAAGACTGGCGTGTGTTTGATCGGTGCCGAGACGGTCAAGGTCAACACCATTGCTCCACATTTTGGGGAGGGTATGAAGAACTGCACTATCGTTTTTAGTGGCAGAGTGAATCGGGTGCTGACAGGTTGCAGAGCCGTGTTTCCAGGGACACAATGGTAGTGGCAGCGTGTTCTTTTCTGGTTGCAATCTTCGGTGCGTATCAATCCCGCCAATATTGTGACCAACGTGCACCGTGGTCAGTGAGAAGCGCATACGCTTATTCATTTGTTATAGCTGTGTGTTCTGCCAGAACCACGATATTGCCCACCAGCGGAATGGCTTCGACCTCACACCGGAAGAGCTGGCAGAGTGGTACATGAAGCTGCAGGAGACAGGTAAGACATGCATAGCCACGAGACACCACAGACTAACAAGCTGGCAGGTAAAGTACACAACATCAACCTTGTCACGCCGGAACACGTCGTTCCCCAGGTCGTCCTCTCCATCTTGCACGCACGCGAACTCGGTCTGCGCATCCCCATCATCTATAACACGTCCTCATTCGATTCGCTGGAAAGCATACAGCTGCTCTCTGGGCTCGTCGATATATACTTGCCAGACTTCAAGGTGTGGAACAACTCGACAAGCAAGAGGCTGCTCAAAGCGGATAACTACGCAGCAACTGCCATGGAGAGCATTAAAGCCATGTACGAGCAAGTTGGTGACCTCTGCTTCACTTTCGACGGCATTGCCAAGAAGGGCGTCATGGTGCGACACCTGGTGATGCCTGGAAAGGAGGATGAGGGTAGAGAGATCATGAAGTGGCTTGCGGAGAATGTTTCCAAAGACCTGGTGGTGCACATCATGGACCAGTATTTTCCACGTGCTCATGTGGGCAAAGAACGTCGTCGAAGAAAAGCCGAAGGTGCTGTAGAGCCTGGATGCGATGACGACTCTTCCTCGACGAAAAAAGAGGTCAGGTATGCTGACATCAATCGCCCTGTGAAAGACGAGGAGATGTCGTCTGTAAGAAAGGCTGCTGAAGAGGCCGGGCTGTGGCGGTTTGTCGAACCGGCGCGCCATGGCGGCTTCAATATTTGAGGAAGTCGCGTGAGTGTTTTGTCACTTCGGGGGTGCCTGCCAACTGTAGTCTTCCGCGCCTGCCAGCATCTTCACCACAAGATCCACATCTCGGTCAAGTTGCCCACTCACCAAAACACCACACCACCACCAGCACAACCACTCGCATATCACTTTACACATTGTTACAATGCCAGCCAGCACCATGTCAGACCTCACTGCGCAAATTCAAGGACCTGTGCAAACACTCAAGATCGACCGCGACACGTGGAAGGCGGTCGCGCTGAAGTACAAGGCAGCCTTTGAAGCCCAGACGAGCCGCTTCAAAGAGCTCCAGGATTTGTGCTTCGCAACCCAGGCTGAGTTACAGAACGAGCGTGTTGAGCGCCGCCAATTGCAGGAGCTGTCAGAACAAAGAGAACTCAACCGCATGAGCACCATAGATGGCGCCGACGAACCGCGTGCGTATGGTACAGCGACTGTTTTTCGTGGCGGCCACCAACGACAAGCATCACGTGAATCGAGCAACCCGCTCTACAGTCGTGTCCAGCATTGCATCGACCAGCGCAACTACGGCAGTGCACTGGCTGAGATTGAGCGCCTGCTTCAGGGTCCACTTAGTGCAAAGGCGCGCGCTGAGGGATTGCTATTGAAGAGCAACGTTCTCCGAGCGGCGGGACCGGATGAAGTTTACGGCGCGTTGGCTGCGTGTAGCGAGGCGTTGGAGCTTTGCGACCGCATCTCAGATCTTGAGTCTTTCTTGCCAAGGATTCAGCATCAGCGAGGTACGTGTGATATAAGGAAGCGGAACCGAGACAAAGGCTAATTGTGTATCCTAGGCGTCCTCTACTACCAACTTCGCATGCTGCAGCAGGCTCGAGATGCCTTCAGTGCCGTCAGCAGCGATGATCCACTGTTTGCAACCGCCAGAGAGTATTGTAGCTCGTGCGATGAGGAGATACGGCTACAGCGTAATGCAAACCGTCGCTCAGCCTTTGACGAGAACCGTACGTTTGACGAGGGCATGGTTATGCAGCTTGATGAGAAACTGGACGTAAGCGGCATTCACATCACGGTGGCTTTTCACCACACTTATCACTCATAGGCCAAGCGACGTCGTACAAGTGCACAATTGCGTCTCCGGGCGGCTGTTGTATCGAAGAGGATGTCGCTTCCTCGACGTTGGGTGAGTGGGAAGGGTAATGACATCTGACGCCCGCGATTTGTGCTCAGCACGGAGCGATTGAGGGGACATGATAGAGCATTGTACCCATCTCGAGTTTCGCTTCTGAAATTTACAGTGTCCTTTGTCATTGTCGTGTTCCTTTGTCTCATATCGCTGATGGGTCATGCATTGTTGCTAATGTGAGTCAAAGATCTCACCTCGACAAAGGAATACGCGCACCGATAGCTAAGTTGAGCAGGATCACGACCTACGACCTACATAGATTCGCTGTCCTTGCTGAGGACCACATGTCAACTACGCAACTAAACCACCATCCACGATATCTTGCTTCATTATGGCTAAACAGAACAAGGACAGTGAGCTGCCGACAGCAAGCTCAGGCTCACAGCAACCACTGCATCAACGCACGACTTCGGTTCCCATAACTCTCCACTCACCTCATACTGTAGCCTCCAACACTGACGCTTCATCTGGCGCTCGCGTGGCAATGGATCCTTCTCAAAGCCATGGCGGAGTATCAAAGTCGGTCTCCCATATCCCGGGTGAATTCATACGATCTGATTTTGTGAACCGAGGGAAGGACTGGGAATCCCTACATTGCGCAAAGCCTGGCCCCATTCAAAGCAGCTCGTCTCTCTTCAAAACCCTCAAGAAGACTGGCTTCTTCGACAGTGACACCGGGAATCAACCAAAGTCATCACAGGGAACCGGCTATCCCAGTTTACAGCTGGCTTCGCCGCTACCGGTCAGTCCCAAGAGTATGACACCCAAATCTGCACCGCCACTTGCACCTTCAGCCGTTCAGAGATACCTTCATCACAGTCCGGATTTTCCTACCCCTGGACTCAACGCATCGTCTCCGGTCTCAGTGGGTGATCAATTTACAGGAACCACCCCAGTAAGAACGATTGACCCGGCACGTCCATCTTCGCCAGATCAAAGTCTCCTTCCCAAACATGTGTCTGCATTCGAATATGCAATGCGGCCCTTCCTCGACGCACTTGCCGATGACAGTCACGAGCGATTGCTCCAGTTACCTCGGACACACCAAGTCGCCTCGTCAACGAAATTGTTACCACTAACAGACCCTATGGATAAAATTTGTGATAGCGAACAAGAGGAAATTGCAAAGGAGGACGGCCTTCCCGAATACGGCACATCCGCGCATTTGTGGGAGAGAGACACATTCACAATTAGCATGCAGCAAACTCAACTTTCTGTGTACCTCATACATTGTACCACATTGCAAGGTATCATAGATCAAGTCCAGCGCGAGCCGTGGAAGTACAGCACGAACCAGTCCGCAGCCTGGTACTACGGCAAGATGGTTGAACTGTCATACAAAGCGCGCACTCTGGCTGAAGCGTTGAAGAGTGATGAGTTGCAGGCTCGATGCGAGTACTGGGCTGGAAGAGGATGCGGCGGCTCGAGAGATTACGGCGCTGCTGAAAAGCACTTTCACCAGGCCATGTTGCTCGACGTACCAAACGATAAGTACAAGAATGGTCGAGCGCGTCCAAGAGGCCTGCTCCCGAAAGAAAAGGCAGATGTGCGATTCTTGCTCGACAGTTGTCACAAGCGGGCCAAGAATCATAGACACTACGGGAAGCGCATGATGCAGGAAGTGGAGAGAATAAGAGCCATGGCCGATGAGGATGGTCTCCCGCTCGATGCGTACACGGATCAGACCCAAACAACCGTGCCGTCAAGTCCGCCGTGGCTACCTGATCGCGATCGACTGGTTGCACTTGCTAAATTGCAATTCGAGAAGTCAAGTCCGAAGCTGGAACAGGCTCTGGAAGAAGAGGCCCAAGTGGGCTTGCAGACTGGTGATGAATATATTCAGGCGGAGAACAGACGGAGGCTGACTAAGAAAGAGTGGGTGTACATCAAGTACGGAGACGTGCAGGAGGTGGAACGTCGGGAGAGACAGATGTCTGCTGGTCATACGTTCCAGTCTCTGCCAAAGCAGTCTTCGGCTTTATCTAGAAGATCAACTGGTGCCGCTCAGAGCACAGCACCTCTTCCATCGCCGCAGGACCTCGCCAATGAATTGGCAGGACTTGGATATGATAGTATTACGCCTGAAGCATCTCCGACTTCGCAGTACTCAACTTCGTCGCGAGAAATGCCAGGAGGAGCGTTAGAGAAGCAACCATTGCCCACATACCAGACTCTGTTGCATGAGCTCAAAGACGCTGAATTGCAACGATCGCCGCCTCCAGTAAGCCCAACGCCGTCGCGGTCCTTGAGCTCATCGCGACCGGTGCCGCCCACCAACTTGGAGCAGCCACCAATCTCAAGTCTTCAGACTCTTTCGCATGAACCCGAGGATATCGAACGGCAGCGCCCGTTGCCTCCGCTAACACCGACCCCTTCGCGAACTTTATGCTCATCGCAAGCACTAACTCCCACTGCCCTGGAGCAGCAGTTATCGTCCACATCCCAGACTCTGCCGCATGAGCCCATAGATGCTGAATGGCAACATTCATTACGTCCCCGAACGCCACCACTTGAGCCGCACTCCAGCCTCTCCACAGAATCATCCATCTCTACTGACTCGGAGTCCGAGGCGCCTTTTTCCATAGACTTCCTTCTCGACAAAGAAGACTACGACTACCGACTGCAGGCATCATCTCCGCCACAACTCAGTCTCCAACAACGCCGCCGTGGGAACTTTCTTGACCCGATTACTACCATCCCCGTGCCACCGCGGTCGAATCGCCGTCCGACTATTACGCAGGCTAAAAATGACTCACTTCGTACGCCCCTGCCCGAGTAGACCGCGGGCCTTAGCAGATTGCCTGAAGCGAGCAGATATCACCACCGACTTGACGTTCAGGTGAGGCCGAAACTAAGATACTGAATTCGCGCTTGGTGGAAGAAATGTACAACATTCGCTCCATGTTAGTGGGGATCGGAGTCCGTTTGATCCTTCGATTAATGTGTGAATAGATAGATAGCTGTTAACTCAAAGCATGTCTTACTCTGTTTGTTCGCACAAAGAAGCCTATGTGAATGAAGTAAAGGAATGATTAGATGTAAAACAGCAAAAAGAAATTGGACACGCCTCGGATCGAACACAGCCTTCTCGCAGGCGAGTTAGCACTCAGACTCCGAACATAGATTGCAGCCACAATCATTTTTTGAATCAACGGCGCTAATTAGTGTGCAAGCGTTCTTTCACTAAACTACGTGTCCTGTGTGAATTATTGATAAAGGAGAGCGGAAAATTCGGGATACATGAACCCTTCGCTAGCTGGATATATCTAAGCAAAGAAAATTAGTAGGCATTGATGTGTTGCAAAAGGTAATGCCATTGTTCAAGTCTCGTACACTGGAAGTTTGTCAGGTTATCACTGTGCTGATACGTTGATCCGGGATTAATACCGCAAAAGAAGTATCAGTCGAAGCCGCTGAAGCAGCACAAAAAAAAAAGAACGGATACTCTGTGAGTCGAATACAGGTCTCTCGCAACATTGGCGTGCCACTGTTAGAACACCGCGTAGTGTGTAACTGGGTGGAGAATTTAGGAAATATGAATGACTGCACGTTGAAGTCGCTCAAGTGACGGACGAAAAGAGACTAGATAGTCCACGAGCTGATTGATGCGTTGGACGAGAAAGTGGGCAAAAGCTGTGTACTGTATGTGGTCTAGATCAGGGAGCTGAATGAATGCGCGCTACATGCGGCAAGCACATTGGCTAATCTGTCATATTATACCTAGGTATGTACGCACATCACACAGCATTGGCGTCGACACTGCTCAATTAGGTGCAGTCTATGATCGCAAGGTTTGGAGGAGCCCGGCGTGCGTTGCATGCAGCCTCGCCTAGATTGCTGAAGCCTCGCGCTGGCAGCGCCACTTTCAGCCAGAATTCAGCCCTGAGTAGCTCGTGTCCAACAGCGACCCACGCTAAGGCTCGACCACCGAGTCTAGCACATTTCTGCCCGGCACTAAACTAACCTTGGAATGAAAGATGCGCAAAACGACAAGCTAGCTCGAGGACAGCAGAAAGACGGCTGATATGGCTGAGGCGGTCACAACTTGGATACCGTTTCGTGCATGAATATTTTTGCGCATCACTAATTTACCTCGCCAATGTACAGCACCATCAGATGTCACAGGTTAACGTTTGTTGCCGCCCCTGAGCTGTTCACTACCCTATAATTACATGAGAATATTGGTCGATTGTTCGCTGTTTTATCCTGAGGTTTCCATACCTGTAGGCGTAATTGACACACCGTCCGAGTTCGTTAACCATTGCTTAATGCGCTATAGTACATCTGTGAACAGTGTTGTAGAACTCCAGGTTATCAGCTACCGCGGAAAGCGAACAGATAACTTCAGGCTGTATGTTAGATTGCTGTTTTTTGCACTCTGGTCACTTTCCTCGTAAGTGAGAATATGCGATACTACCACAGTAAATCCAACTAGATAGGCTCAAGTATGCGGGCTGGAACATGGCGATCGATACTCGCTTACCTATGGTACAGGAGCCTAAGTCCGCTTGAGCCTCGCTCTTTGCATTTCGGGAAGTAGATCTCCAACCTTCTGTAAGTACCCGCGTGCGCCGCTGGACGTACATGCGCATCTAGCGTTTCTCAGCCAAGAGCTAACCTACAGCCAGCTCCAGCCAAGAAAAAGATGGTCTCGAAGATCGCTCTAGAATGAATGCTAGCAACTGCGCTGCAGTTGGACATCTTTGAGGCTGGCTGAAAGCCCTTGGAGGCGTGGAGCACCGGCAAGGCCGTTCCTTGAAGCACGTCGCGAGTTCGTAGCAATCTTTTATAAAGTGTCGAGCCCAGTTCGACAAGCAGTTATTTATCAATAAAGTCTGCTCGGTCGCGAATACGAATATCACCATGAAAACATACGCAGTCGTCCTCTTGGCTACTTGCCACAGCGTACTAGCTGCCAAAAGTCCGGCGTGCTCCAGCGGCATTTACAAGAAGCTTGCATCTTACTCTGTCATCAAGCCTGTCTCGACCTTTTGTGTGTCAAAGTTCCCACCTGTTACTCAGACATCGGTCGTTAGCACAGCAACTACGATCACATCAACCTCAACACTCACCGAGTCAGTTGCTCCAAGACGTTTCTGCGAAACAATCTGCTTACTGCAAAAAGAACTACAACAATTGATACCACTGTCCTTGCGACTTCAACAGCGACGGAATTCACCACGGTCACCATCACTGCAGCAGCCGCCAATGGCAAGCGTGGTGCTAAAGCAGCCACACCGTCGACACCGGTACCATTTGGCAAGGTCGCTACAACATCAGCGCAGCCTTGTCCAGAACTTGTCGCTCTGAAACTTCTCGCATCGAACGTGGTCGCAACAGCCTGCTCGTGCATCATCTCTACGCCTACTGTTACTGTAAGCTCTTCTTTCCACCTAGCCAAGCGTGCAAAACTAACCCATGCTTCAGTCAACAAAAACAGCCACCTTCACTGCTAATGCTCAAGCAACGATGACAATGACCATTGCAAACACCATAATCAGTACTGTCGTGACAACCTCCACAGCAACTGCTACCGCGACCGTTGCCCCAGCCCCTGTCGAGAATCTCGTCACCTGCAACAACCCCTCTGCTCTAGGCTGCTCGGCAGGTGTAACTTGCAGTGGCTCAACTGGTAGCTGTATTTGCGAGCAAACAGTTGAGGGCATAAACCTATGCATTGACGAAGGTGGGCAAACTTGTGGTAGTCAATGCTCGAGCTCTGCAGCATGTGGAGTTGGTTATCGATGTGTGACATCGACTTGCTGTCCAGGCACCGGGACCTGTCTCCAACTTGCGCCTGGCGGTAGGGTCTGTACGAACGGGCCGGCAAAGATGATGCGCATGCTGAGGGGCAGCATCGAAAAGCGGGTTGTTATAGGGTACCCGCTACACCTGCCGCCAACAGGAGCATAAGGCGAAATCCGCAGTGTCTTTTCTCAGACGAGTATCGAGGCTGGCGAAACCCTTTAGAAATATATGCAAAGCTGCAGTGTAGATAGAATTATACAATCTATTTTTACTACCTATCTGGACCAGATTGACGCTTGTTTCGGCTCTGGAGTAGACAATGAAATCACCACCATGTCCTACGATAGATATGGCCACTCCTTTCCACAACACGGTCAAGTTCCAGGACTTTTATCAAATGCAAGCGTCCCACCACTGAATTGAGTGCCTTGAATTCTGATAATGTTTTATTCAAACTACAGGTTGATATATTCTAACGGCTGTGTACCGTCCGTCATACGAGGTCTATTCTCGAATTGTGAAAGGTTGAGCGGCGAAGCTTTGTCGAACAAGTTTCGTAAGGCTCGAAGGTACAAACCTCCGGGCGTGCCTTGCCCACATAACTTCGTCTGGGAACATAACACTGTGAGTTTGAAAATTGCAACTTTCGAATTAAGACTTTCAAGTGGGTTGTTTAAGACAAAGGGTGTAAAGTGCAATGACGGGAGAAGAAGGGAAGAGCGTCGGCGTAAAGGAGGCAAACACCGTCATGTTTGTATTGCAGAATCAAATCTGGCGTTGTAGCGCCACTTCTACTTTCACACTTCATCATTCCTGGACGTTGAATATTTGGCCACGGAACAGTGATCATGCACACTCCCATTCCGCTCGGCTAATCTCTCCCCAAAATCCCTGCTCTTCAGGTGAAAACTCCTGTTTCTAGCCCTTTTGATACATGCTCTCGATCGCTCTCACTTCTTCAAGCAGACACGGCCCATCTCTTCTCGCAGACTCCTTCAGCGCACACCTCGACCATCCTTGGGCGGTTCCTAGCCTGCTTGACAACAAGTTTGACGGAAGCCACGGTGTCCGCGTTTGCAAGTGGTGTAGCGCCAATGTTGTATGTCTTCTTGTCATCATCCCAGGTGACCGTTACGATCACTTTCGAAGTTGAGGTCGGATGCGGAACCGGGTTTGTGGTCGTGTCTGACGAAACGCTCCATGGCCGGCCGAGCAGGAGATACAAGGCGACGGGAATAATTGCGATAGCAGTGTAGAAAAGCGTGTGTATTTGCATGACGGCAGGTTTTTGGTTATCGTAACTGTGGTTGTAATGCGGCTGTTGCCGTGCTGGGGTATGTGCGACGAATGTTTGAGTGGGCGAATTAATTAGGGGAAGGATTGGCAGTTACTCAGAAAGCATTTCACTGATGAGTTGAGCACACCAGCGCGTTCCCATGATCCACTATTGTTTGCGGCATCTTGAGTGAAAGTGAACCAGACCTTTTATTCCAAAAAATCCCTATCCTCTGCACTAATCAACCCAAATGCGCCAACGCGATACCACTATACGCGCCATCTGTCTCATAAATCTTCTTCTTCTCACTCCCATCCATCTTGAACCTATACACTGTGCCGCCCAGATCCGTAATGTATATATGCTTATTCACCTCATCAATCTTCAGACCAATCGCCTCGTGGAAGTGTCTCGCCAACAAGTTAACCTTCAAGTCTCCACCGCCAACATGCGCGGAGTTCAAAGTGTTGCCTAGAGGGTACTCGCCACGATCGGTCCAGTACAATGTCTTGCTGTCCTGCTCATACTCTAGATCGATGGGCTCGGGCAACTTGTCGAAGAGGAGCTCGATGTCAGAACGCGATGACGCGGTCTCGCCTGATGGTGTTTGAATGTTTGCGCGGAAAATGCGGCCTTGACCTGCTTTCGAGCCGCCCTTCTGCGTCCAGTAGAATTTTCCAGCCTTGGGATCGACTGCGATACCAACACACCACTTCTTTTGGTCTTCGATGTCACTGGTAGTGTAGTCGCCAGTCTGGAGGATGATCTCGTGGTTGCCGCCGTCGAAGTCGCAACGGTGAATGCGCAGTCCCTCGCGGTCGCAAAAGTAGAGTTTCTTGTTGTCGTGGTCGATTTTGATCTGTTTTGGCGTGTGGACCTTGCCTTCAGGGATGATGGTCTGCACGTTGGAGCCGTCGAGATTTGCTGCCATGACACTGCCGTTATTCTCAGATGGTGACTTGCCCATGTTGGTCCAGAAGAGCTTGCCAGCAGAGATAGAGACGTCGATGCCGTCGGGGAGAGACTGGCCACCCACTAGCTCGCGGACATTGCTACCGTCTGCAGATGCTGTCATTACACTTCCAGAGGTCATAGATTTTCGCAAGTCCTTAATGTTGCTACCCATGCCGATATCGAGAAAGTACAATCTCGGTGCTGCAAGGTTGTCGTGGTGACCACCCTCGTCTTTGGAACCCTTTGTCGTCTCGCCTGGAGGGTAGAGACCACCCTTCCCAGACTTTGCGCCAAGTTTGCCCTTATCAATAAAATTCTTCTGCAGCCAGTCTCTAGCAGTCGCATCCAGGTGTCGCTCCTGAATGTAGTTGTCCTCGATGAAAGCCACAGTGTCCAATCCGACAGCGTCCATCATGCCGCATGGACCGACTGGACTATTCGAAAACATAGTCATGAAGAGCTTGTCAATCTCCTTTGGTTCTGAAACGCCCTCCGCCATGATCAATAACGTTTCTCGCTTCACGGCAGCCCATAGGCGGTTGAAAATGAAGCCAGTCGATTCCTTGCGCGCGACAGCTGGAGTCATACCCGCATCTTCGAGCTTCGATCTTAGGAACTCAAGCACATCTCCATGCGTCTGGCCACAGGTCATGAGCTCCACGACATTGTTACCGGGCGGCATATAGTAGTGCATATTGCACACGCGCAGCCGTCTCTTCTCATCCACCTTGTCCAGCATGAGCCGTGACTTGTATGAGGATGAATTAGATGCCAGTATACAGTCCTTTGGTGCGTGTTGGTCGAGTTGTCCCATCATTGAAATCTTCAAATCGAGCTTTTCTGGCAGGGCCTCGACGACTAACCAAGCATTCTGAACCGCCGACTTCATGTCATCGGTGGTACTGAACTTGGCATGATCGCGTTCATTTTTTGTAATCTTCGCATACTCTTCCCGGCTGTGCTCAATGTAGTGAATTGCGGCATTCCGTTGCTGTTCGTTGAGATCGCATAGAATAACTTCGTATCCAGCAGCCACCCAGGAAGAAGCGATTCGTCGACCGAGAACTCCTCCGCCAAGTACAGCGACTGGTCGGGAGGATGTGTCTGGCGCAGTCCATTCTCCTTGCGAATCGACGGATAGCAATCGTATTTGTTGATTGCGAGAAGCCATTGAAGGTAGTGATGAGGGATCACGGAGTCTCAGTTGCTTGCTGGTGCGCGTCGAACACAATCTTTGTGTTGGTGTAGCCGTAAGCAGACATCTTGGAAAGTTGCATCTCGCTGTGGTGAAACCTGACGCGTTCCGAATAGTCCTCGAGACCTGCCTCGTAGGAAAAGACATTATGGTAACACTACTTTCGATGTTCTTGGTGATCTCGCTTTTCGTTATTTTAGAAAATCACCGGTATATCAAGTTGCGAAAGCTCACAACGTTCGCACGAGCTCCGGCCCTGCCTGCCTTAATCCAAACCATCGTCATTACTACCAGCGAAGCTATCCGCGCATAATTACGTCAACGCCTCAACACATCTGCGATCGTGCATCCCGTGGCTCTAATCTTGCAACATGCACGAATTTTGCTTGTGATGAATAAGCTTCCGCGCGCTCCCGCATGCATAGTGGAGCGTCTCCAGATGCAGCCTCTACACTACGCTGCCGACCCGGGATCGACAAAACTTATACTGACCTATCGGAGGTCAGCCTCGGTACTCGGCTTGTTCTAGCAATGGTTTTCATTCGCAGCCAAAATCAGACCATTTTGCTAGTGAATGTGATGCAGCAGAAAACAAGTATTCGTACGAAGAGATTCGGGGTCGTACGGCGTGTTGTTTAGACGCTCCGTAAGACTGAGTAATGTCGCCACACCTCTGAGAGATTCTTGGTGGCGGCGGACACAGCGAGCGCATCGAGCCTTTACTCAACTCAGATTTAGCACGATAAGGTATTGGATGCTCAGAGATGCATTGCATGATTGGGGATTTATTTGTTATCGATACGATATATTCCACAGGCTCCGACAATGCCGCAAGAACGAAAAAAGCAACAGCACGCCACGAGGGCTTCCTCTTACTGGAAGGTAAAAATCTCATCCTGTGGTTTCGAAATCTTGCCTGCCGAAACATGTTAGCTCAATGGACTGAATATCGGTGAAATGCGAATGCATACCAGGTGGCTTGAACCCTTGCTCTTCCAATATCTTGACCATGCTCTCCATCATAGGATCTGGTCCGCATACAAGCACCTTTGAGTCCATACCAGCTGGTGCTGGCATATACTCCTTAATCATCTGCTTGTTAATGCGACCCTTACAGCCTTTCCAATTGTCTGGTGGGCTGCTCAAGACGTATTGGATCTTGAACTGGTCGTACTTTTGCGCAAAGTCATCCAGCTCCTTCTTTAACAAGATGTCCTCCTCGGTCTTGTTTGCGTAGATTAGCGTAGTCTTGGTGTCGTCTCTTGGATCTTCGCAGATGCGGCGAATGATTTGGAACATTGGCGTAATACCAGTACCACCGGCAATCATTCCAAGCTCTTTGACCAGGTTCTTGTGGTACTTCATTTCACCCTTTGGTCCTCTGATCTCGACCTTGTCTCCGACTTCCAGCTTGCTCAAATAAGGAGTGAGCTTTCCACCTTCGTAGATCTTGATGGTCAGTTCTAAGCGTCCAGTATCCTTGTTGCTGGACGTGGGTGTGTATGATCGCGCAAGCTGCTTTCCGTCCACATCGTGTCTGATTGCGATGTGCTGGCCAGTTGGCAGCCCCAAGACGGAGTTCTCATTTGGAAGGCTGAAGACGAAACGGATAGTGTCGTGTGAAAGGTTGAACTTTTCTTTGAGTGGGAACTCTTGATATTCACGGGCATTGAGTACTCCCAGATTGATGTTTTTCTTCTGCGAAGGTCTTGCAGACGTTGACTTGGCTTTGACGTGTGCTGGATATGATTGGAAGTCCTTGTGTGCGACGTTGAAGTTCTTCGTGGCCCAGAGACTGGTATATCCTGCTATAGCCATACTGGCAACCGAAGACAGAGCAAAGCCCTTCCAGAAACCGCCCGTTTGAAAGTGATGCAGATCCGGGGAGAATCGTCGACCAAGTACAATGGACACAATCAGCGTTGCGAGACCTCCAGCTACAAGCGGCAAATGCAGGTTGTGTGGTTTCGGGGGAGGGAGATTGTTGACGACGTGGACGTTCTTTGGCTTAACGTCTGGCATCTTCTTCGTCTCATGGTCGACCCAATCATCGTCCGTGACTTTGCCAATGCGGAAGTTCTCCAGTATCTCTCTAGCATCTGTCGAATGTCCGATATCTTCGTATGCCGTTGTTGCGTCGGCGCCTGCGTTCTCAAGCAGGAACTCTTTACCACCGGGATGGTCTTCTTGGTATTTTGTTACATCATAGACATGGTTCCAGACGACAACCCACAGATCGGTCTTTGAAGTGTGCTTGCCCACCTCCTCGAGACTGTAAACTCCGTCGGCCATTGTGAGTATGATGATGGACTGATTTGTGAAGTTGACTTAATCTGATGGTGATAATTTTGACAAGGTATGTAACTAGTTTTAGAAGAAAACAAGCTAGAATAGCTCCCCGTTGCAGCCAGAGCTTGACCTCGGCCTGCCATGACCTCACACAGCAGATGTGCGCCGGCCGACATGTTCGTGCGATTTTTCGGGTTCGTGAAGGGAATTTGCAGGGTAGCTTGCAGCCAATGGCAGTTGAGATGGTGGCGATGACACCATTCAAGCATCGCGGTGCAAGCGTGACCCACTTACCGAGGCGATCAAGAGCCAACCGGCCAATGGGCTGACACGGAAGCAGCCGCAGTGAACGAGCGTGCGCTAGTTGCGCATGTCTCATCTAGCTAAGTTATCTGGTATGCATGACATAGTTTGGGTCGGCCGAGTGCGATGACGATGCACAAACAACGCATGCAAACAATCGGGGCCTTACGAAAAGTTGAACTTTCGCGCCACAATCCTGCTGTGGCATCGGCCAAATCCACCTGTAAGATGCAAGTATGCTTCCGAGGTGCTTTTCTATCAACATTTGCGTAATGCTGCGTGAGTAATATTCGAGATCCGAAAACTATCTTGAATGCATTAAAGTTGGTTCACACATTCTACTTCCCGGCACGCAGTGCATTCAATTCCCTTGAACTACACCATGACTATCAAAGGCTTTTATCTTGTTGGTCAAAACAAGGATGTCTTCCACCAAGAAATCCACATCGACCAATACCACGACTTCGAAGCTCTACAGCTCGCCATAGCTGAACAATACAACATCATCCAAGCACCCAGCATCGGGCTACAAGATGCCAAAGGGAACGACGTCCCAGATCTTGACGCCGTACTCGACTGTGACGAAGACCTCGGAATCACAGTCGACGGCCAACCGATTCGCGATCCCTCCGGTCCTGAAGGTCTCCCACTCGTAGGAAGTTACTACGAAGTCTTCCCCGACCACTTGGTGAGCTCGTCTTTTTTACGGCCAGTTCTATTACTAACACACTTCCCAGGGCAACCACGCCCGTCTCTTCCAGAAATACGGTTCCCTCATAAAGTACGAAACCATGGGAAAGCGCAACTACCTCACCAACGACCCCGCCCTCGCATCAGTCGCGTTCCAAGAATCCGCCTTCTTCAGCAAGCAAATCGTGCCCGACCACCCCCTCGCCGGCATAAAAGACAACCGCGCCCTATTTATTGGTGATACGGACACGGACGCCTGGAGGGCCGCACATAAGTTCATTCCACCAGCGATGTCGCCCAAAGCTGTGCGGCACTACACTCCGATGATGGAAGCCAGTGTGAAGGACAGCTTCAAGGTTTTCGACCAGCTAGATGAGGATGGTGAGGCCTGGAACGTGTATCAGTACATGTTGAAGCTGGCGAGTCAGACAGTGTTTAAATTTGCGCTGGGCTACGATGCTCATCACTTTGATGATCCAGACAGTGGGCTGAATGAGCTTGTTATACTTATTGCGCAGAGTTTGAGCCTGAACAAGAAGGTCACGAGTAGGGGCAGTTGGTATGCGAGTTTGGGGTGGGTTCCAGGGACGGCGGCATATGAGTTGAAGAATATCCAAGGGAGGCTTTGGGGTATTTTGAATGAGGGTAAGCATCCCGCATCACGGACAGTGGGCATAACTAACAAATTGTTTTGTAGCGATTGATAAAGCCCCCAAAGGCGACACAGACGAAGACCTCCCCCTTCAATCCGCCGCTCTTGGCGCTTCCTGCGTGGTGGACTACCTCAAGCGTGCCACCGACGACCACGGCAACAAACTTCCCCGCGACCTTGTCATCCCAAACATGCTCCCCATCTCTGGCGCAGGTTTCACAACCACCTCGTCGCTCCTCTCTTGGCTTCTCTATGCTCTTTGCGTCTACCCGGGTAACCAAGACCGCATGGTCCAAGAACTTGTCGATGCGGGCGTAAACGAGAACACAAAGTGGACGCCCGAACTATCTGACGGGTTAACATTCCTCGATAAATTCGTCAAGGAGACGCAGCGATTGCACAACCCATCGTTCCAGCCGGGCAGGACAGCGAAGGTTGATTGCATTGTCCCGGGTGGGTACAAGCTGCCAGCTGGAAGTGTTGTGATCTGCGCACTGCACGCGATCCACAACAACCCTGCTATCTGGTCGAATCCGGACCGCTTCGAGCCGGATCGATGGGGTACAGAGGAAGTCAGCAAACGGCCAAAGAACAGCTATATGCCGTTCGGCACGGGCCCGAGGAGTTGTATTGGGTTTAATTTTGCGCTGGGCGAGGTCAAAGTTCTACTTCCGGAGTTGGTGTACAGGTATGAGTTCAGCAAGGAGGGAGAGGACGCGGTGACGTATGATCCTGAGTTCCAGCTTATTCGACCGATGAACTTTTACGTCAGGGCAAGGAAGAGGACCAGCTGGCCGGAGAAGAGTAAGGATGCGAAGCCTTTTGCCGAGGATTACAAAGAGGGAGAGAGGAATCCTATCAAGTTTTAGGCGTAATGAATAGTAATGAACATCCATATCAAGAAACAATTAGCATTGGTATGAACCGATTACATGCGACTGCTAGATTGCATCAGGTGTGTCATGAGAAATAAAATAGCACAGCGAGAATGAGGGGAAAATGATGCGTGCCTCACAATATAGAACAGCGGGAGCGGAACGAGCACAGTGCATATATCGCCTTCAACTTTTCATATCTCAAGACTCGATCTGAACAAATCTTCGTGACACTCAATGCGCTTTGTTTTGCGTGCCAGAGTGGCGGCAAATACACAACAAAGGATCCAATTTCGAATGGAAACCGTTGATAGATTTTCCTGGGAAGTGTGAGGAGCAAAAGAGGTGGCGTTTATGTATACAGCTCAAGGGCAGACGCAGAGCCTTCAAAGATGCTGCACAATCATTTTGCAAGAGAGCCAGAAGAAGGACATAGTGCATGCAGAGTTATAGATTGAGAGCAAAAGAACGGAGACATAGGGCTCTACATGCGAATTTAAAAACTAGGGATATACCACGAAGTTCTCTCTTTCTTGTGGTAATATTCCCAAGATAGAGGAATAGACAGGCCAAAGCACGTCGGGCGCAGGTTTTCTGTTCACTCACTAAAATAGTTGTGGCGACGATAAGAATCAACACGTCGCAAACCAATTTATATGCCCAGCTAGGACGAGACAAATCTCATGATGAGATTTTGTCATCACTTTAGGCACTGTTATATCTAGCTTCGTCACGCCTCACCAGACATTTCGAAAGTCTGGGAGGTTATTTAAGAAGGTCCGGGATCACAGAACCCGCTGTGACGTCGTTTTCTAATGTTTGTGATGCTTTCAGCTCCAGACAGCGAGCAAACACTTCGTGCTGTTATCCTAGTCTTTTTTGACGAGTCCAGTCAGCGACACATGAGGCGCAGTTAGACGTCATTGTTTCAGACCTAATAACAATGCGAAATCCGAACGACTTCGGCAGCTGCCTGCGAAAGAGGAGTTTTATACCCACCGTTGCGAGCCAGACTCAGAGCCACCTCATATTGGCGCTACATTTCTGCTTTCCGCAAAAGAAAGTAAAAGGAAAATGGACATGTCTAGGCCTTCTTGAAATTATGCTTGCGTACCTCACTACCGGGTCCACAAGCGGTGTCATATTCTCGTTTCTGGTAAGTCGGAACACTGAGGATATGCGCACTCGTAATCGTGGATTTCAAAGCTGTTTTGTTATTATAAACAGCGTAACGCATTGTGGCCACGACTTGAAGCAAACCAAGGTATAATGTAGAGGAAGAGGGCATTGCGGAATGCAGTGACGATTTGATGCGTCGCGTATAGATGAGACAAGCTGCGAGAGAAGACCAAGACATATGTTAGCATTCATTGTGTTCTAATTGATTCAATACGAAGTCGATATTCTAAAGTGCTCGGTGCTCGCGAAAGAAGAGAATTCATACCCACGACACGTTGATCCAGACTCGTGAACTATTCGTATCCTATGTCACTGTGTTGAAGGAGCTAACGCAGAGAGGCAGGCCATCTAGGAGTTGATGGTGTTTACTTGGAATGTTGGAAATCTCATGTCAGGGTCTTAGTTACACTTATGCAGAGGAAGGGAGATCTCACCTCAGACTTTCATGCACCTATTTTTTGGGAAGAAGAGCGAAAGTTCGGATAGCATAACATGTAGCCACCTAAGTATTAGAAGAAGAGGAAAGATAGACACGAGATCCTAACCTGTCGTTTTGAAGAAGCTCACAAGTTTAGGATTGTTGTGAAGTAGAGGTCGATGACGATATAACGAACTTTTATACACATTTCTAGCAACCATGTATGCAGCGAAATCTCAACCTCGTGAGAGCTCATGTGACATAGCTTAGATAATTTTGAGTGCGAAAAAGGAGAGGCACAGACGACACGTAGTCTCTAACTTTCGCTTTTCGAAGGGAAGCACAGAAAGACATTGCTCTGTGATGCAGACAGTCGAAGAAGGCTAGATGACTTAAAATTAGTGTGGAGGAGAGAGGGAAAAACAGTGAGGGCTTCTATATCTTCGGTATCAAATACTGCCTCGCATCATAGGTGTGTTCCTCGAGCTTTTTGGGTAGACGTGCGAAGCTGTTGGAGGGCCAAGATCGAACCGGAGCCCATAGATATTGGGCTGTATGGCTTTGGAGAAGAGGGAAAAAGACATTGGTCGTCCGCGGATAGATTTTGGAGAAATGGAATATAGTGTGTGTAGTGATTGTGAGACCAGCGTTAACGGCTTTATATTACCACATTCGCTGACGCTCGTGCGTCTGTAGCAACAGTCAGCAAGCAAGCGTTCAGGCTTGCGGAGTTCTATCGAAGTCGTTTCGCACCCAATGTAAAATGCAACAGAATATGATTCATCCCTATCTTCCCACCAACCCTACTTCAACCGCCTCCACGCTAATCCTCATGATCATGCCCAACAACCCCCTTCAACTCCCCCACATACTCATCCCTCGTCCCCCACCAAACGCCTCCTACAGTAACCGCCAACACAGCCACCACGACCCCCGAGCTAACGCTCGTACTGGGATACACATTCCATGCCCACTCCTGCGCCGCCCACAGCGCATACTGCAAGACCGGATGGAATCCCGCTTTCCACAGCAAAAACGGCGTGGCCCACGCAATGTACGCGAAGAACTGGTAGTGCAGGCTGCGCGCGCACAGCATGCCGATGGTCATGGCGGTGAGAAGGACGGTCATGTGTGTAAGTTTGGGGTGATGCGGAGGGCCATTGTGTCTTGGTCGCGGGGCTCAGCTTGGGGCATGATGATTTTGAGGAATTGTTTGGGGGTGCGTTTGGAGGGCTTGATCCAGCGGGTGAGGAAGAAGGTGATTAAAAGCGTGACGTGAACCGACAGTAACCCGAGAGCAAAAGGCTTTGATAAAAATGTTTCCTCGGAGACGAAGCGCCAGTTTACGGTCCATTTGTAGGTAAACTGCCGGGAGAGTTCGAATGCCCGGCCGAAGTAGGAGAAGGCGGCTTTGCGGAAGGGGTAGCCAAAGAGGACCTAAGATCATCAGTCCACAAATCTCTTTTCCCTACACAGCACAAGTAGAAAGATGGCTTACCGTCGTCTGAAAGATGATCATCGCATGCGTCATCGCCTCCCGACTCCCAAGTTTCATAATCATCAATACCCCCATCGCCGGCAAAGGCAGCAACAAACTCATTTTGACATTCAAGCCCGTCGCGAACAGAAAACTACCCACGTGCCATTGATCGCGCTGGTAGCAGAATAGCGCGGCGAATAAGCCAAGAACTGCGAAGCAATCGTTGAAACATCTCAGCAGGAAAATACTGTGCAGGCGTTTTGACAGGATGAGAAGGGGGAAGACATATGGCGGGACCTAGGATTGTCAATTTGATGCGCTGGAGAAAAGGTGGTTAGAAGAAAAATACTCACACGTGCTTTCCGATAACATTGAAACACCAGCGCCAGCGTCCCAAGATACACCAGCGCGAAGATGTACTGCGCGCGCTGGATATCCCTTCCTTCATCCGTGATTTTGAAAAGTTGCTTGTAGATCCACACGTGTGCGCCGGGATACACGAGCGGGCCTGTGGAGCCTGTGATTTTGGTGTAGTCGCGCTCGCCTTTGATGATGAGCGCGATGTGTTGCATGTATGTCGTCCAGTCGATTTCTGTATCTGTAGGAATTTGTTGGTTTTGGGATTTCGATGGAGTTGAGCGACACGTGGTCGCAAATCCAGCTTACATGGAATTTTCTCAATCACAACGCCGCACAGCGCTGCATCGACGACGAGCAGCAGCGGGATCATCCATCTTGTGTGTTCGTCATTAGTCGCGAGATCGCGCACGCGATTTATTAACGACATTGTTTTGGTGGTTGTGAGTTCTTTTGGCTTTTCGTCGATGGCAGGGGATAGCGCTTGGTGTTATAGCGATGCGCGAGGTCACGTGCAGCAGGAGTTTGCGCGTTTCAGTGTTGCTCTCGAACCACGATGCGTTTCAGGCATCGAGTTTCAGGCAGGAGTGAGTTCGTACGATGGAGGTAGTGGTTTGGGGGCTATTTCGAGTGTGGTAGGATTGTGGTAGAGGTGGTTTGGCGGACGATGCTCGGAGATCGTGTGGGGATGTTGGACTGCATTTGATACCGCGAAAGAGTCTATGTCGATGCAGATGCAGTCATAGTATTCCGTAGACTATGAATATCTACACCCAAATCCACCCTATAAAATCCTCACAGCTTTGACTTCACCGGCGCAAACGTACTCCCCGCTCCCCCACCCAACGCCTCAACCAACTCGTCCACCTTCTCCAACACCCACGTACACCCCTCATCACTAACCAACCACCTAATCGCCTCCTCACTCCCCGCCTCGGGCTCCTCCTTCCACGTCCCATCCTCCCAACCCTTCCTTAATCCAAAAACATGGCTAAGAACCTGGGGCCCCACCCCCTGCTGCGCTCTCAAACAAGTGATCGCAACCAAGCTCGTCGTGACCCTGCCGACCTTTGCGCCCGGCTTTCCCGGCGGGTCGGTGAACAAGCCGCCGTATTCTTGGTTGATGATGAAGACGGGCAGGTCCGGGTGAGCGTCGCCGAGTTTGTCGATGAGCTTGGTTTCGAGCGGGCGGTAGATGGCGTCCCAGAGGGCGCGGCCGCGGGTGTTTGTGTCGAGGATGTTTTGCGGGGAGGGGGAGCGGGTGGGGGTGGTGTTGAGGGAGGAGGCGATGGTGGGGGGCAGGGAGGCGCGGAAAGCGTTGAGCATGTTGATTGTGCGCGGGATCTGGGCGTGTGTTAGTGAGTGCTTGGTGGATTGAAGAAGGGAGGGGGTTCATACGCCATTAAAGCCTATACACTTCAGTCCTATTTCTCGCATGAATTCGGCTATTTGCACGCTCTCATTCTCAGGGCGTGATGCACTCGTGGAGTTGTAAAGGGCGATCATGGACTCGGGCGAGTTCATGGTCATTGTTGCGGCGGTGGAGATGCCGAGCCATGATGGGCGGCCTAGCTTTCGCTCGGTGGCTTCTTCTTGTATGCGCTGGTATACGGCTTGAATGCGTGGTGGTGCTGGTACGGGGCCTGGTCTTGAATGTGCGGCGTTAATGAGCTGTTTTAGGGCAGGCGATAGCTTCGACATGGCGGCGAGCTCGGGACGGCGATTGAGAGGTTGGAAGCAATTGACTGTAAGCACAATGGTACAAGTATGCTGAATAAACAATTGCAACTTCAACCCCTTCGGCACTTGTACTATGGACGCGGCAATGCGTTTATGTATAAGAAGTGGTACGAGCAAGAATGACGCCAGGCGCCGTTCCGAGGCAATTCCGCGCGCATCGGCTTCACTAAAACCACCGTTGACTTCCGATACACGCAAACCACACAAACACAAACACCACCAAGACTTCACGTCTCCACCAGGTTTCATCTTGTCCTAGCCAACACTTCGTCGATGTTCCTTTCGCTCCGTCTTCCCATTCTCTCCGCGTTCATCGTTGCGAATGTCTCCCAGTCTGACACGCTCACATGAAGGCCATGGAAGTCCACACATTTTGAACATGGCTTGATATCTGGCATTCTCATTATTTCACATTAATCAGACTAGACTCCAGTCCCCAATCCAAGTCGCCCGTACAAAGAAATCCTACATGCTCTGCATGTCCACATCTAGAGGACAAGCATCCCGACCAAACTGCCCACCGCAACCGCAATCCACGCACCCATGACAACACCGCCATGTGCAAAGAACACGGGCGCATGCACACTGCTCGCCGCGCCCTTCGACCCCGAACTCGCGCCTGCAGTACCACCACCACCCTTGCCCGTCGCAGTCGGTGGCGTTCCGCTGCCATTACTTCCCACCGCACTCAGCAGCGCCACGCAACTGCTCGCCGTCTGCGCACTCTGCACCGTCGCCTTGCCGCCAAAGCTACATGCGCTGCTCGCCTTGTTCTGGCCCAGATAATACTGGTTGGCAACGAAAGCGAGCTGGTCTTTGGGATCGCAGCCCGAGTAGCCGCCGAATTTGCCGGTCGTGGCGTTGCGCGCGATGCCGTCGCAGTACTTGCTGTTGGCGGCGCAGATGTAGTCGAACGTGTCCTTGTACGAGTCCTCGTCGGTGGACTTGATGTTGCATTGCAGGCCCGCGACCATGCATTGGCAGAGCTGCGGGTTGACTGGGGGAGGAAGCGGGGAGGCTTGCGCGGCCCAGGAACCACCTACAGAGGGACAGGCGGGCGCGGAGTTGGCAGGCGTGTATGCGCTGCGCTGGGTGATTGTGGGTGAGACTTTGGCGAGCTGGCTCTGTAGCGAGGTGAAGTCTGGGTAAGGCGAGGCTGTGGCGCTGTTGACGAGGGATACGAGCCCATAGTCGTTGGTGCCCATGAACCACTCGTAGACGATGCCGCCGGAGAAAACGTTGGTCATGTTGCCGTAGAGGACCTCGACTTCGGTGAAGGGACGGCTGGTCGGGTCGGACAGGCCCTTGATGCAGCCGTACTCTGCAAAGAAGACGGGGACGGGGTAGTCGGAGAAGAAGTCGACGCGCTCGCCATACGACGATGTCGCGTAGTTGCTGTCGCCGCACCACGAGTAGACGTTGTAGCCCCAGAAGTCGATCGACGTCTTGTTGCCCTCGTTGCCGGGCTCGCAGGCAAAGTAATGCGCGAGCTCATTGCGACTGGGCACATCGGCCGTCGCATAGCCCACGCCCAGCGTCTTGCGGTAGTTCTGATTGGCAATGTAGGCCTTGGTGTCGCGGACTGCAGCCTTGACAAATGCGGCCGCAGCCGTCTGATTGTTCGCACTGACGTTCTCGTTTCCAGCAAAGAAGCCAATGACGTTCTTGTACTTTGACAGGGCGTCTACCACGCCCGTGTATCGCTTGTAGAGCGTGACATCCCACTCCGGGTCGTCGGAGATGATGGACGTCGAAGGCTCGCCCAGGTCGGCAATCACGTAGATGCCCGCGCTCGCCAGCTGCGACATGCAGTCATCGTGGTTCTTGGTCGGATCGATCGCATACACGCGGATGACATTGGTGAAGATCTGCTGCATCAACGGGATGTCACGTTTGCAAGCATTGCTGTCAGCGAGCGGATCCGTGTATGTCGTGTCGGCACCGGCGGTGCCATTTGGCTGATAGTTCTGCTGGTATGCGACGCCCTTGAGGTAGCTGCGACACGGTCAGTTATATATTACCCCACAATTTACTCTAGGATCGGCGCAGGCATACAATTGCGAGCCATTGTTTGTGTAGAAGAAGTGCTGCCCGTAGACCTCAATCTCTGGGATATCGTCGTAACTCGCCGCCGCTGCCCCACTGATGAGAAGCGCCGCAGCTGCGCACGCCCAGCGTCCAAATGCCTTCATGGTGTTGCTGTGATAACGAGTGAACGCACGGATAGCGAGTGGAGGTCGAAGCTTCGTAGCTCAATGCTTGGTACACACGGTTGAAGGCTTGGCTAACGAGAGTGTAACGGAGCAAACCTGGGGATGTCAACGGAATCTCCGGTATTTGGAGAGTCGCACGAGTTAGCTCGGACGCGTGTCTCTCACGGGCTGCTGCAGGTACTCCCAATCAAGCGCATCCATCGTGGCTATGCTGACAGTTTCCGGCCCGGGTGGCGTGCGTTTGCCCCAAGCTGGATACCACACCATGACGCTGCTGGAATGGACTATCGATGGCATCCTTCGCCTAGGCTGCTTCGAGCCAAGCCTGGCTTATTACCGTCTGCATTTTACGACGACTTTGTTGTTTGCAACGCAGGTCCGTCGGCTTTCCATGTTAGTTGCCGACATTTCCGTGCATCATCACATGATCCTGATGGACCGCAGTACCGTATCACTCACATCCATGTGAAATTTCATTGTACACCCAAGAGAGTCTCGAACAACTTTCGTACCATGCATCTAGGTGTTAACATCCCTGCTCGGACACTACAAGACCTCACACTACATGCTTTGGCAGCTCGTTCACTCTCATCGCGGAGTCACTTGGGAGCAGTGCCGATCTCTTTCGTATCTCCCTACAATAGGATAGGATTTTCTCCCTTATATTTTTGACTCAAATTTATGGGGAATGAGTAACGTGAAGGACCTAGAAGTGTTGTTGCGGTTCTGTTTCCATTGTGACTACAAACTGTTAGTGGAACATTGCATCCACCTTAACCACATCTATCATCCCCTTTAACCCATACCCAAAAGAACAATCAGATTCCCATTGCCATCTCCTTCACACCATCTCCTTCACACCATCTCCTTCACACCATCTCCTTCGTCTTCCCTTATCCCATCACGTCCCAACCCGACACAACTTCCCATCCTCACTGCTCGCTCCATCCCCCCTCTCCACGCCCCACCCCTCACTCCCCACCGCCCTACTCGCCCAAAACACATCCCTCGGATCCATCTCCCTCTTAATCGCCCTAAGCCGCTCATACCCGTCCCCCCAAAAACTGCGCTGCCAATCCGGCTCCACGCGATCCGCCTCATTGACATACGCCCCACTGCCCGGCGAGACGTCGCGCCACGCCTTCATCGTGCCGTTGGTAAACGCTGTTCTTACAGCGTTCAACGTAGACGCTGAGGCAGCTGGGTCGATCGGCCGGTCGACGATGACGTGGTATACTGAGTTGCGGAACGCGGGATTCACGGCGTTGGAAGGGTTGCTGCCGCGGGTGGCCATGTTGAACGCTATAAGTGTGTGGTTTGCTTCGACAGTGCGGCGGAGCACGGCGAAGGTCGTGTTGCGGCCTGTTTCGCTGGCGAAGTTTGAGCGCGGAAGCAGGCGCGAACTTATGATGGCATTATTGCCTGACGAGGCCTCGACGGGGAATTCAGCTTGCCAGGCGGGGTAGAAGGATTTGTACTCTGTGATTTTGGGTGAGAAGGGTATGTTGAGAGATGTCAATTTTGAGAGGTATGGGGCGAGGAGGGTGTTGAGTTGGGCAGAAGTTTTGTTGGGCGCGAAGAAGGGCTGCATGGTTAGAGTGAAGTCCGTTCCGGTGGGAGCGAGGAGGAAGTAGGCGTATGTTCCTGCATCGGCGTTGTCGGTTGCGCGGTCGAAGAATGCTTTTGTGGCTGCCCAAAATTTCTCCTTGCCGATTTTGGAGCTGGAGAGGGTCCATGATGCGGCGGAGACGGGCATGTCTTTGTAGACTTTGATTGTGACGGATGTCACTACTCCGAATGTACCTCCGCCTCCGCCTCTTAGAGCCCAGAACAAATCCTGGTTGTTGGTCGAGTTCGCAGTCACAAAGTCTCCAAGAGGTGTGACAACTTCAAAGCCGAGGACATGGTCTGCTGCCATGCCGTATATTGAGCTGAGGGGCGAGTGCCCACCTCCTTGAATGTATCCTCCAAATATACCAACGGTCTGCATCTCGTCAGGATCGCCTCACTGCTCAAACCACGCTGACATACCTGTCCTTCGCCAGCCACCGCCACAACGCCCTTTTGATCCGCAAACTTGTAAAGCTCAAACGCCTGCACTCCAGCACCAGCCTTAATCGCTGGTCCCTTGTACCCCGATTCGTCCACATAGCTGTCAAAGTACTGCATATCCTTGAGTCCATGCGTCCAGATACTAAATGCGCCATGTCCCGTACTCTTTCCCGAAAAGTCGTGTCCTGTGTTCTTCACCACCAAGCGCAGAAAGTCGTTCCGGCAGAAATTGATGACAGATTGTATATCCGACACTGTCTTCGCAGCGATGACATACGATGGCGACCCTCCAAGTGTGCAATTCTTGCTGTCGTACACCGAAGGTGGCTGGCATGTTAGACCCTGGTAGAGTGGTGACAAAACTTCGATTGGGTCGTCGATGTGGCTGTACGAGTTTGTCCAGTTGCTTGTTATTGCTTGACATTGCGCGTCATTCTTCGTGGTGCCATAGCATGCCGACGCCTGTGGTACTGGCACGATCAATGCGCCTTGTGAGCTCAGCTGCTTCTTCAACTTGTTCAAGGCCTTTGTCGACGGCCATTTTTGGTCTAAAGGATCGTATCGACACCGCTTGTCTATGTTGTTGACCGCTTCTACTTCGACGATCTGATCTTCAAATGCGAAGAGAAGTGCATCTTCTGCCGGCAATGAAGCGACATACTCTCGTGTAAGTTGTTCTTGTTCGAAGGGAAAGAGCGTTCTTGAGTGTGACAATCTCAGCAGTAGCGCTGCGGTGAAGAGGACTGGAACAAATGAAGGTACCATGATGGGAATGAAAGGGCCGATGCGAGTCTGTTAGGACATTATCGCGAAATCCCTGGGCATTTGCAGCGGACAAGAAAGTTATATGCGTAAGAAACCTTGCTGTCGGTGAGAGCGTTCTTCCAGATCGACGCAATTAAAGGTCAATGACATAGGTCTATGCGGCTCTATTTCGCCGACGCGGTCGCTTCTTTCTACACTGGTTAGTGAAAAGCATTGCGGCCGGTGGCAAAGCCACATGGTCTCATATATACATGAGCTTATGTTGATCCATCTCAATGGCGCCTCACAAATTGGGTAGCATCCGGCTAATTGGCTGCGGAGATTATACGACCCCAGGTTCGCAAGGACACGTTGGAACAGGGCGTCATAACAGCCGCATCGTATTTACGCGCCCCTGGCTCCCGCCTGTTCCCCTGTTGTCTCCAGTCGGCACGTCTGCGTGGAGTCGAGATGCTGGAATATATGGCAGTCTGCTCATCTCAGCCGACAAAAGTTGATGACGCCTCATGCAGTTGTCTAGTTATGGTGAAAAATTGTTGTTGATGTGTTTGCTAATTTGGGGTATACCGAAAGAAATGCGCCAGACTCCGTTTCCTATGCTACTTTCCATCTGACAGAACGCACATTCTACCAGTTCCACGTGCGGCTGGCAGCGGAGAACACAGGAGGTTTCCAGATCAATCGGTCTGGGTCGATTGTCCTCTTTCCCTTTACTTTCTCTTTCGCCTTTTGCCGCTCTCTTGCTGCAATGACTGAGTCGGTGAGTACAACGACGTGCTGGTTCTTGCTGTACCGCAGCATGTTCAAATTCTGTAGTGTATGTAGTACGTCGTTTGTTGTCATCGCAGTCGCTGCGCCAAGGTCTTCGATGTTCGCCTCGGTCTTACCAGGCTCCAAGAGTAGATCCACCAATATCTCTTGCCAGTAAGCACGATAACCGAGAAGACCCAGATCGGACAGTGGCTTTTCGGGTGATCCCAGCTTGCCTTCGCGCTTAGAAACACGGAGGTAGGAGAAGTCGATGAGGAGTTTTCCGAAACCCTTCCTTTGGTATTGGGGGAGAGTGAGGATACAGGCGACGTTGTATCCTTCTGCTGATTCCTTTTCCTTGGAGAAGTAACCGACAAAGTGGCAGCCATACTCATCCCGCGTGCACATGCAGTAGAATAGAAAAGGATCGACGTCATAGTACAATGTCTTGTGGTCCAGAAACAGTTTCGAGAGCAAGCACAAGTTACGACACCACGTTCTTTGCCTCCGTCCGTCGATCTCAAAGAAGGACACATAGTCGTCGCGATAGATTTCGTTACCTGGTGGGTGCAGCAGCGTGCACTTGGCGCGATGACGCTCGAATTGCGTGACCTCGCCAAAGTACGAGAGACAGAACTCGCAGATGTGCACGACATCAGAGTCAACAAAGTCGATGGGGTAGGGCGAGAAGTACCAGGGCTCGACCTCGAACTTGCCCATCTGAATCTTCTCCAGGTTACGCACGCGCGATATCTCAGTCTGATTTTGCGTCATGGAACCTGATGTCCGCAGCTTCTCGATCTCATCTTCGCGCGAGTACTCGTGATCCGGCATAGCTTTAGCTGCTGCTGCCAGGTCTTGCACATCGACAAGGTCCATCTCCTCGTCTTCGGGCTTCGGGGTGCCCTCGGTGACTTCGCTCGTGACTAGGAGCTCTTGGTTCTCTTTCCCACTAGGTTTGGACGGGCGTTGTGCTTTGCCTGGAACGTTGCTGGATGTCGATTCCGGAGTTCCTGAGATTTCACGGTCCAGCTTGCTACGGGACCGCTTCAGGTTCTTCTGGTCAGACTTGGACGGCGCTTTGTCATTCTTAGATGCGGCCACCTTCTTCTTCTCGGGCTTTTCTGGTGCAGGCCATTCCACTTCCTTGGTGAGGTTGATGCGTTCTGCTGGGATCCACTCATCAAGACGCTTGTTGAATTCCTCATAATGGACATAGAATTTGGGTTTCCCCTGGCGTGTTTGTATGGAGAGAATCTCAGCTTTGCGAAGGCTGCCTTCCTGTGGAATGTTAACTTCACGTTCGGGGGCTTTGGTGTTGCTGCAACTAGGGCGCGTTGGACCGCGAATCCCAGACGCTCATACGCACCTTCTCAGCCATGACCTTCACTCCGACTCTGCACGCAAAGTATCAGTGTGAATCTCTAAACGCATCGCAATCCTGTCGCACATACCTCAGCTGCGCAAGGGTGGCAATGCCCTTTTCCACCGGCACAGGCGTGCCGGAGGGCTCATGAGAGTTTTCTCGAGGCGCCATGGTGATGCGCTAGTTCTGGGGTAGTTGTCGGAAGTATTCAGTCGCGGCGTGGTGGTGCAGGTCGTGATGATGGTTTGTTTGATGCTGCGTTCTTTGTCGCGAAGTTGCCGCCTGCTCTTGCGCGGCCATGTCCCGCCGCCGATTGGCCGCGTCACTAGCGCGCAATTGAACATTTCTTGCGATCAAGCGGAAACTTATCGGGAGGGCTTCAAACGCAGCGTTCTCCACCAACCACTTACAGCACGCTTTTCCAGGCCGCTATGCTTCACAGGTGACATCAATATGGCTCCAATCGAGCTCAGTAGTTTGTCGTCCAACTGGAAGAAGCTCCAAGCTTCTCTGCAGTCTTCAAAACCCGCCGAGTCCTCGAAACACAAAAAGTTCGACCAAGGCACAGAGCAGTCACTCAAGCGCAAGAGGCCCCAGACCAATGGATCTAGTGCGCATGCGCCCTCAACAGTAGTGAACGGCAACGGCATACATACACCACGGAAATCGTCCGCTTCACGAAAGCGACAAAAGATGGAGGAGCCCACGTCTGTTGGCGCATCGGTAAAGCACCATGACACCAAGTCTCTCGAGCGGAGCGTCTCAATGCCGTCACTCAAGAAGAGGCCTCTCCTCACAGACCCCACCGAAATCGTCGAACCCGTCTCCATCCTCGAACCCCACCCCGACTTCCCCGACATCGAGAATGAAGGCGTCTCCGAGACCGCCCTGCCAGGCAAATACGTCGCTGTAGATTGCGAAATGGTGGGAATTGGCCCAGAGCCCAATCGCGACTCAGCGCTGGCAAGAGTGTCGCTGGTGAACTTCCATGGCCACCAAGTTTACGATTCATACGTCCAGATCCCGCGCAAAATCGAAGTCACAGACTACCGCACAGCTGTGTCCGGCATCGAGCCGAGACACCTCCGGCCCGACGTGGCGCGACCCTTCGACGAGGTCAGGGAGGACCTCAAGACCCTGTTGACTGGGCGCATACTGGTTGGACACGCGGTCAAAAATGATTTGGACGTGTTGATTCTGAAGCACGAACCCAAGTTCATACGAGACACGTCAAAGTTCTCCAAGTTTCGCCAACTAGCGCTGAGACCCGGACATACGCCTGGACTCAAGCTCCTTGCAGATAAGCTGTTGGGTGTGCAAATCCAGGTCGGCGCACATAGCTCAGTCGAGGATGCGAGGGCTACCATGGCACTGTACCGCCTGGAAAAGGCCGAATTCGAGAAGGAAATCAGGCAAAAGTACGGCAACATTCGTCTCGACACAGCAGATGTCGTCAAGGATGATGGCGACGAGGAGAAGAAGAAGCGGAACAGGAAGAAGTCGAAGAAAAAGAAGAAGCACTAGCGGCCGCTGCGGGCGGTGGATTTTGGTTTTGATCTTATGTTGATATCTGGATGCATTTGCGGGAGTTTTGCATGGCGTGGCATGGATACCCAAAAGTCTGTACATTACGGAAACCATCTAGGTGTTGTTCCCATCACCATGTAGCAGCGGTCGGTATTGATGGTGACCAAGCCTCGCACAAATCATCGGATTTCCTGGTGTTTTCCTCGAATTTCTTATGCACATCACCTCTAGAATCACATGTCGGCCCACCAAGCAGTATTCATGGCCCAGTATGCATGGTGCATGAATATCGCTGACCCTCCGCCGTGCTTACGTCCGAATGAACCTACCAATCCTAGCTCTGCGGAAATACTCGCCTAACCTCATATTTACTACTTCTAATTCATGTGAGCATTTACGACACCAGATGTGGACTTGCACATTAAGAAAAGGACCGAATCTTGTCGACTGCGTCCGACACGGCGGAGCTAAGCGGACATAACCCACCAAGACCCCACATTCCGCCGTGACCCCTCAGCGCAACGCCATCCGACGATTGTCGGTACCTAGACTAAGTTACCGAGACGAACATTGCGGACGAATGCGAAGAGCTGGGCCCTGAGACAGGCGGGCCTACACGTCACTGGTACGAAAAATGTCTACCTGGGTGCTCCACCAAACTGTATAAGAGAGCATGACGCTGCTTTGCTCCGTAGCTTCCTGCTACAGAACAACAGCACCGTTCGTTACCACACCAACTTTCTCCACACCACTCAATTGAAGTTCAACATGCCTGGTCCTTTCGGTGAAGCTCCCGTCGCAAAGTCGCTCCTCGACTTCCAGCGCGTTCTCTCGCCCACCGCGGGCGTGCGCGTCTCTCCGCTATGTCTTGGAGCGATGAACTTTGGTGACTCGTGGGAAGACATGATGGGCAAGTGCGACAAGAAGACGACGTTTGAGATCTTGGACTACTTCTACGAGCAAGGCGGCAATTTTATCGACACGTGCGTTCTCCTCAATATACATGAGCCAATTGCTCGATTGCTAATGCGAAGTGCAGCGCGAACAACTACCAAAACGAAGAATCTGAGACCTGGCTTGGCGAGTGGATGGCAGCCCGCAAGAACCGCAATGACATTATCATGGCGACAAAGTTTACGACTTTGTATCCTGACCCTGCAACGAGGCCGCGCATGGCTGCCAACTATGCGGGTAACAGCTCGAAGTCGCTTCGTGTGTCGCTCGAGGCGTCGCTCAAGAAGTTGCAGACGGACTACATTGACCTGCTCTACGTGCATTGGTGGGACTTCAGCACGTCGATCCCAGGTATGTTGCTCAGATAAGATTTCTGAGTGAGCTATTGCTCACCACCTTCGTAGAACTGATGCAGAGCTTGAACGCCATGGTCACTTCTGGCAAGGTCTTGTACCTTGGTGTCAGCGACACTCCAGCATGGGTCGTTAGCAAGGCCAACGAATGTACGTCTTAACCATCGCTTGTCTTCAGCATATGTGCGTCTCCTAACCTTCACCAACAGACGCCCGCAACCACGCCCTCCGTCCCTTCTCCGTCTACCAAGGCCGCTGGTCCGCCGCCTCTCGCGACTTCGAGCGCGACATTATCCCCATGGCGCGCGACGAAGGCATGGCCCTGTGTCCCTGGGGCGCCCTCGGCGGCGGGAAATTCACAACCGAGCAGAAGCGCAGGGAGAATGACACTGGCCGCGGCGCAATGTTTGGCGCGCCGACCGAGAACGAAATCAAAGTAGCCAAGAAGCTGGAGGAGATTGCGAACAACAAGAACTCGCAGATCACAAGCATTGCGCTGGCATATGTCCGTGCCAAATACCCATATGTGTACCCGATCGTAGGAGGCAGGAAGATCGATCACTTGAAGGGCAACATTGAGGCTCTTGGTATCGATCTGAGTGAGGATGAAGTCGATGAAATTGACGGCGCCGTCGACTTTGACATCGGCTTTCCTATGAACTTCCTCTTCGAGTTCGGCAATGGCTCGAAGTACAAGTCTACCATGACGACCGCGAACGTCGGACTGCTCAACTTCGCTGGCAACATGGACTCGCCAGAGCACCTGAAGGGCCCGAAACCTCACGGCCTCAAGGGCTTCGGAAAGAATCCCGCTTAGATAGTCAAAGTAGAACCATCTTGAATGGAATTACGTACATCTACATCAAAGCCCCGAATAACCCAACCAACCCGCCCACCCCCATCAACCCCGCCCTAACCCCATTCATCCTCCCAAACTCCTCCAACAACCCCCTAACCTCCTGATCCTGACTCTTACTACTTTCTCTCCTCGTCCGTTCCTGCGGCCCACTCCAATCCCACCACTGACTCACATCATCGTCCCCATTAACGCTCTCATCAGCACCCCTTGGCCACTCCCCAGCCATCTGCTGCTCGTACTTTTCCTCGCGGTAGACTGCGGAAGCCGCGCTGCGCGTCCCGCCCAGCGCCTCGTTCATCTTGATAAGTTTGAAATTCGTGGACAGCATAAAGTGCGTGAAGGGCGCGATGGAGATCGTTAGCGCTGCTGCTGCGGCGTATAATCCAACCTTGCCCTTGGCAGCATATTTCATCAGTCCGGCAAATGATCGGCTGGCGGGCGGTAAGGCGGAGTAAGCCAGGTACGCGAATCCAGAGGAGGAGAAGAGCGCTGCAGTTGGGAAGATGTGTGAGCCTCGGGAGAAGAGCCAGCGCGTTAGGGGCAGGGAGCGAGATGCGGGTTGGGACTTTAGCAGGGGGATGGAGAAGAGGGAGAGAGAGGCTATGCCGCCGGAGGCGAGGAGGGCGGTGGATATGCTGAGGACCTGAAGAGCGCGGGATGAGGCCATTATTGAAGATTCTTTTCGAGCGAGAGTCGCGGATGAAGCGAGATTGCTGTGGTTTGTGGTTCCTAGACGGAGAGAGGAGTATGTGTCGGTGTTGATGTTGATTGAGGTTGAAGTATAAAAGTTGCTTAACATCGGGATGCGAGGGGTCCATTAGCCAGCATCACTAGCGTGAAAATGCCTAGGTGACATCACGCTTGGCACTTTCATCCTCCCGAACTCCTTCACACGTCGGACGCGGTGTTCGCAATCGCCGACATCTACTCCGTCCTCTTATGCACCCTAGGCAGCGCAAACCAACACGCCATCATTACCCCATACATCCCCAGACAAACCGGATGAAGCACCCAGGTCCCCGTAGCCTGCGCAAGAATACCTGTCGTGAACGGTGCAACCCGCGCCTCCAGAACTGCCCGCGCCGCCAATGAAGCCAATCGCAGTATTCTGCAGATTGCGCGGTAAAGTGCGCGAGAAGATGGTTTGTGCGCAAGGATACACGGGTCCGAGTAAGAGACCCAACAGACAGACAGCGACGGCGTTTCCGATGACGTTGGGGACGAGCCAGGCGAGGAGTTGGAGTGCAAATGTGCCGATGGTGAGCATGACGACGTATTTCTTCTCGCCAATTCTGGGGGCGGCGTGTGTGAGGACGAAGCGGCCGAGTGTGATGCCGCCCTAGTGAGATGTTAGCATCAAATATGTTTGAGATAGGCGAACGTACCCAGAACCCAGCAGTAACGTATCCGACCTTCTTTGGGTCTCCATCTCGATAATTGATGAGGTACGAAATGATCCATCCCGAAATGGAGACCTCGGCGCCTTGATACGCAAAGATAAACAGCGCGCCGAAAATCGTAGTCTTGCTCTTCAACGCAAGCTTCAGCTCTTTGAACTTATTCGCTGCGTCTTCGGTGGCGGTCTGTCTGCTAGGCGTAGCCTCGAGCGTAGCCATGAGAGGCGAGTCTGTCTCCTCTTTGTATGACCAGAACGCCCACGCCGCGAAGCCAATGCAGCAGATCCGCAGGCCCACAGCAAGGAAGTAGAAACGTGACCAGAGGATGCCATTTGAGACGAGTGCAGTACCGGCTATAGGTGCGACAATTCCTCCTATGCCATAGGATCCGTGAGCCATACCAAGAATGACGCTTGAAGGATGTGTGTTGGCGCAGTAGACGTTGTTAAGGGCGAGGTTCATTGCTGCGCCATAGCCGAGCAGGAAGAATCTGGGGCTGTTAGACTAACTCGGTTTGAATGTCTGGATACTTACGATGCGACCACTAGCGGGTATGGTGGTGTGCAGACGAGGATGATATACGCGCAAAGCTGAATCATATCTCCAAGCACCAGCGTCTTTGCCCTCCCAATCTTGCTGAGAATCGTGTCCGTGAAGAACGCCGCGATGATGAAGCCAATAGCATTTCCGACGAAGACGAGAGACATAATTGAGTATGAGATGTGATACCACGACTCCATGTATGGGATCAAAGCTCCGACGACCGAATCGTTCATCCCATTGGCAAAGTAGATCACGCAGCAACACAAGATTCTCCACTTGGTCATAGGGTCGTTATTCCATGTCCTCATCAGACCAACGGTGTCGTCTCTTCGAGGCGTTGGTGGTCTGCTCATTTCCAGCTCATTGGGTGACTTCGGTGTTTGCGCTCCAGTTGGGGTCTCCTGGCCTGGAGTTTGTTGACCTTTACCAGTGGCGAAATGGTCAAGTTCGATGTCTGGTAAAATACCAACATCTCGAAGACTTTGTGGCGCCTCTTTGGTACTCTTTTGGTATGTCGGTGCTGGAGTGGCGACGTCGGGCTTGTAGTGAATGTCGAAGAGATTGTGCAGTGGACTCGACATGCTTAGTTTATGTCCGCAGCGCTGCGGTGTTGCGGGTTGTCAAAAAGTACGCGGAAGTAATGGTGGTCTTCAGTACTAAAGAAGTATTCAAAGACTTCTAGACTGGACTAGCGAAAGGACCGATAACGTCGAGAAGCGTTGTACCGGCTGTGGGGATGCGCCCTTTCATAGAAAACTTGCGATGCGTGCGACCACCTAGCACGAGCAATATTTTGGGCGTCATCGTCGCACTGCTCGCATGATTACCAATTTACTTTGCGTTCAGTTTCTCACCGACTGCAAGCCTATCACCAGTGTCCTCTGGCCAAACGACGGCATTGCGATATCATGGTACGTTGAGTGGTGGACCCTGCGATTGTGAAAAGCGGAGACTTGGCCGTCTTTGAGTTTGTGGCTTCTAGTGATCCCCAAACCGCCCTTTCCAAAATGGCAACATAGCCGCATCAACTCAACACAATTGGCCCAGCCCTGAACATGCGAGATTTTGCCCCAAGGGACCCATACCGAAAGCGTGCGCAAAATGCGAACTTTCGGAAGCTCCAGGTTCGAGCGGGCAAAATTACCCACCTTGGCGCGGCAACACTTTCCTCCCTGGAAATTTTGCCAACCCCACCAAAACAATTGCATCAACGTACAGTTGAGTACCCTCGTGTGGACTATCAACATCGATTCGTCAGCATGCCACGACCAAAGCGCAACCTCCTCGCGACCATTGACTCGACCATCACACCGCCTGATACGCTCGCACCCGGTCACTACATTGCGCGCATCACCACAGCTGCGGGGAACAACCTCTACAACGCGGAGCTTCCAGACGGCAAGCTAGTCCTTGCTGAGCTCGAGGCCAAGTTCCGCTCGACGGTATGGATCAAGCGTGGTAGCTATGTTGTCATTGATACGTCAGCCTTGGCGGATCGCGACAACAAGCTCGATGGGGAGATTGTGAATGTTGTTAGAGACGAGAAGGCCTGGAGGAAGATGACATACTGGTATGTTATCTTGTCATAAAGCGTGTAACAAATTTCTAGTGCTGAACAACTAGGCCCAAAGAATTCGTAAAGAAGTCTACATATGTCGAGGACAGTGACGAAGAGGAATCGACTGTCGGAAAGATGCCGCCCACCGACTCGGACGAGGACTGAGCTTTTTGAGGAAGCTGCATGACCGCAAGCCTAGCCACAGCTCCCGGACGTCCAAAGTTTGTGCGTTTAGACATGGCCATGTGTTCTCACCTTCGCCCTCGAAGTCCATTGCAATGACTGTCTCCGCTCGGTTGCGTGGGAAGCTGGTGGAAGAAAATTCTTATGGCCTTTTTTTTTCTGGACATCGAGAGTGGAATGCCGGATTCAAGGAGCTATCCTTCTCACTTTCTGAGCTATTGGTACCTCGCGAGCGATTCTGCAACCTGTAGTCATGCTTGATGAAAGCGGAAAGCCTATCGTGCAAGGATGGTTTGATATCACGAGACTGGCGATTCAAGGTTTCGCATGGCGTGGAGGCAAATGCATATCATATAGAGGGATTTTTCGCTCGTCGACAAGGAAATGCCGCCCCGGATTCTATCTAGTCGAGTCACCCATTGCAAGGCGAAATACAAAAGCGAAAGCGACCGAACGCGTAGGTTACAAATACCGTACTCTTGTAGCTATAGATATCTCTCGCGAAGACGAATTGGATGATGTCAATCACTTCCGCGCTATGAGCTAACGACTGTCACTAATCGCCACTTCGATGATTGTTCCATGTCCACAAACGTGAGCGAAGATTGCCTAGATCAGTACTATTTGGCACCTGAACATGATGACCGAAGCATCACGACATGCTGAAAAGCAGATGACTTAGGAAAGGCCTCGCATTATCCTCACGCGCTTGAGTATGGTACAACAACCCCATTGCGAAAGTCTTGTATACTCATATCCATGCCTTCCGATCACTTCAGCAAACTCCTCCCCTTTCCCTTTCCCTTCCCCATCACCCTCACACGCCAACACCAAACATCCCTCCAATCCACGCCTTCAATCGCGCTAATATCGTCCTCAATCAACTCAGACGCCTAATCATACACTGTCTCGCCCTCGCCCACTCTCCTCTTACCAGTGCTCGTCCAACTCCTGCCCTCCCTTTGTAGTGCCTCCAGATTGCGCACTTTCACCTCGGCCATGTATTCCATTTGTTCGACCGACATGGGCTTGGGCTGGTTAGGGTCAGGTCCGAAACCGAACGCGCTATGGATCGCGAAGCCCATGCAGACGAAGAAGCCAGCCGCGAGCATAATAAACAGGATGATGATGGAGGGGGGGAGTGAAAAGCCCATGTTTTCGTCGCGGCGGGCGAGTTGGTGTGTCACTGGCATCGGTGCCATCGCTGCGAGTCGTTGCGTGTATAGATTGGAGGTAGCGCGTTTGCTTGTCCGAGATGGTGTGGTGGTGGTGGGAAGTGTGGGTGAAGGATGGGGACGCGGGTGGAGTTTCAAAGGTGGGTGTTCGACGGAAGGACTGTTTAATTCGAAACCACGTTACGCGCTCCAGGAAACGATAGTGAGTGGCATATAAATGCTTCGAAAGAATGCGTAAGGGCGAAGTCTGGTCGTGAAACGAATGTCGTGGAGAGAGAAACGTGAAGAAGGACGATGATGCAGAAACAGCAAAGAGGAAGACGTCTGCAGGATATACCTTCCTCCCCAATACCCACTCACCTCCCCTACTCCCTAATCAACAATCAACATGCATTTTCTCAATCCTACAGGCGCACAGGCCAGGTCTCGTACATTACCGCTTCCGCTCTGGCGTCTCGCTGAGTGAGCAACGCGATTGGTCACATGAGTGCATGTAAGAAAACAACGACCCACCGGCTCCCGATTTAGCACATCGCCAAGTTTTGCTGCACGTGATATCTGCGAACCAGCCAATGGGAGTGAGAGATGGTGCTCAAGCCGCTAATGTTCGAGTCGGCATGATTTGGATGGTATTGGCTAGAGCGGTGAAGGAGCTCATGGCGGGTCTTGCGCAAGCATTCGGCGTGCTCCTGAGGCTTTAGCGGCGTGGCTGTGCATGCTTCCCGGGAGCTTATCAGAGCCTGTTGTTTGGCGGTTGCGAGGCCTTCTCTGCATGTCTCGCGGGGGGACGAAAGTGTTCCTATGATGTGCAATTATATTAGTTCGCTTCCCACCACTCGTGATAGTACTTTGCGTCTGCGTAATAGCATATCGAATGCGACCAACAAACAAGATGCAGGCGCCGAACGGAGCGCACGTGGTCATATTCGACGTGCACACCAAGTTAACCCACAAATAAGTATAGTACACAAGGAGAGAATGCCACGATACTGATATACGGTCGTGTGCGAGGCGTTCGGGATTTTGCTACCACAGATGACCGCGACAGTCCTTCAGCTCAAATCGCTACTAGGAGACGGGTCCCAATTACCTAACTAAGTGAAATCTGCACTCTTCTGAGTAGTTCGCTCGTAAGCAGCACAGAACAGATTCTCACCTCAAACTCAATGTCGCAAAGCAGCAAAAGCAGAGTCAGCGCAGTATATACTATCCGAAATTCGTCGAATGCGCCGCGAGAAGACTATGGTATTCGAGAGAACATCATATATTGCGTCACTCCGGAACCAGAAATATCTAAAGATTAGTGCCACATTTGTGCGTCCCCGCTCTCTGCACATTATAGTGTTTCTTACCTCGTTATGACTGTGAGGCGTCGTCTAATCTTCGTCGTTTGCGGCAGTTATCCGTGCGTTCCGAGAGAGTGTTTATCCATAGACTTTGTGTATGTGCGATTCTGCTCACGACATCTGTCAAGTTAGTGTTGGCCATGTAGTAGAGGAGAGCATTATACTCAATCCATATTCGATAAGCTGCTCAGCAACTTTGTTATACAGCCTTGCCATGCTTAGTATACTAACGTCCTCGAGTGTTTGGATTGCTTTGGCGTATAGGTCACCCGACATAGGCAGCTGATCTTCCTATCTTCTAAGTAATTAGCTCAGCTGCGAAGTAGTATCAGAGCCCTACATCGTACGGCCAACGCCAGGAAGAAAGAACAGGGCGCCAAAGCCTCCAAGTATCCCTGCAAATTTCTGATACCTGCAGCCAGCCTTGATAAAACCAGAAATGTCCTTAGAAAGCTCTTCGACGGACTTCCCGCGACTGAGTCCAGCCTAATCCAAGTCTTTAGATATAGAAATTGCGGTGCGACCGCTCTAGGTCAGTTTGTAAACTACTAAACGAGCAAATCTTTGCAGAATCCGATGATGCAATTCAGTTCCTTCCAGAGCGAAACAAAATGCGATGCAGGTGTAGCCCCGTGCTGCGAGATCTCGGGATTGAGCGTCCGTATACATAGCCGGAATACCGAGGTTCCAGAACCTCGTTTTGTCTGTTGCAGTTTCGCGAAGAAATGAAATAATGACTTTGTGATCAGTAGAAGTTGTGGTGCTCATTTTCTCGACAGCAGCAGAGCTTTTGTTCGCTCTCTTCGTTATGTTGTAGGGAAGCATCCGCGAAAAAGCGCTCGAACGCTGCGCCGCATCGCGGATAGCAGTGAGGACTTCAGAAGCTTCCTTCATCAACTGGATAGGGCTTGTAAGCGGCAAAATTGGTCGAGGCAATGTGAACCCACATCTTCATTTGCAAGTTCTTGGATCGACGCCTGCTGTATCTTCATAGCTAAAGTAGCCCCGTCTCTCTGGTTTCTCGCTGGTGTTCCCATGATGACTGCAGAGTGAAGGAGTAGAGTTCTCGTTTCGATTTCCGGTGTGCAAAAGCGGCCCCCACACGCTAGGACAGTTTGAGGTTGGTTTTTCGACGCGTCGAAATCTGTCCCCGCATCGGCCTAGTAAGTCTCACTTCCAAAAGCTACATAAATGACTAACCCTGGGTCCTCTGGTCGTTCTACCGGCACCGGAAGGGACCACCGAGATCTAGCATGTGGCGCTAGCTCATACCAGCATTTCTAGGGAGACGGCTTCTCCGGTACCTTCCCACGTTCTCCCTCATGCGTGAGCAGCCGTCCCACCAATGTGAAAGCTTTGGCTAGAAATATAGCTTTGATACACACATACTTAACTATGTAGAGACGTTACTTAGACACAGCGCTGATGCATTACGATTGTTGAAACCGGGTTGCCTAACTAGCTGCCGCGGCAGTTCGGAATTCTATTCTTCTATAGGCGAAGTTGTTACTATTGCCTGCAAGCTAGATCGACTTGTTGCTAGGTCTTTCTTTGTGTGATAGCTCGCAACACGCCGCACTTCTAGAGGTAGATAGGTGTGGGTAGCCGGAAGCTATATGTAATAGATGGAGGCTGTTGTCGTGATTATCGCGGTTAGAAACATGCGGCATACAAAGGAGCTCGTAGTGTAGACGTTCGCTGTTATAAAGGGTGCGGCTGGCAAAAAATGTCAAAATACAGTCTATACGGGGTTTTGGAGAAGAGCTGGTTTCTTTTGAGTTAGCACTAGTCCTTCGTAGTTAGCAGGCGTGTTTACGACGTCTAATTGGATCAGATCTTGATTATGTGACCCTTATATTTCCATATTTTTGCCGGTCGCACCCTTTGTATCAATATACCCGATCGTTATATCTGTGATATCCCTGCTGAGATACCATACTGGTACCGGTAATGCGACTATTGTACCACTCGAATGAACCCGGACACTGTTCACCGCACGGGCCCCATAATCTGTCAGGTTCATTCTAATAATGAAGTGGTACTGTATTTTCCTGAGAAGAGGACGCAACACTACGCTAGTGCGCCCCGTAATAATAGAGTTTCAGCCAATTAGAGATAGGCGGGGAAACGGTCAAACTCAAAGCTAATTATCTTGTTGGATTTGAGACTGCGGAAGCGAATTTAGTGTTGCGTCCTTTTCTGGAGAAAATGTGGTACATGTATGACGGTACATTAGGGGCATGTAACAGCAAGTACTTAAGGAAGGAAGTGACTAGGATGTCCTGCGGCCCCGCGTTCATCGAAATAAACCTTCTCGTATCGAAGTACAATGCTACGGTCTCAAACAGCCGAGGTTCACCACTAACCCATGGATAAAACCGTGTGTCCACACGCACATTCTTGGCGTCAGCATTGGCCCGCTCCCCGCGACCAATGTCTTCCCAGAGATGACAGTAGGAGGAATACGGACCGCAAAACATTACCTAGGTAGGTACTCTCGATCGGCCATGTGCAAATCACAGCGAGCGTAGGGGGCATGTACAGATAGCGTGGCCCAAAACAACCGTGATAAGGAACCTTCTCTATGACCGATGATCTCAGGATCTATTATCGCACACTATATGTCCCTGCAGCCTACTGCTGCAACCTATAGGTGCAATGGTGTTCTTTGGTAAGCCATAGCACCATAGCTCAACACTAATGCTTCCATCATCAGGAGGACCAGCAAAGTTCTCTATCGAAAAGAAAGGATAGGCTGCATGCTCCTGTTGTGAGATCAGTTGGGGTTGGAATAAATATAGTAGCAGTGCTAGTACGCGTGTGTACCCATAATGCTTCCCACAAATGTGGCGCGATCCGCAGCCATTAGGTACCGTAGAGGCCCGGGCCGAGCCTGAGGTGGGGGGTCGAAATACGCAGGAGCCAGAGCGCAAGTACGCAATCACATGCAGGCTCCCGGGATGGCGACGCAGTCAGAAGAGGTTCGAAATACGCCCTGCAGGATTTAATGTCTCAGTCTGATTCTCTTATTCGTCTGCGTTCGCCTTTCGTGCGCCAATAGCACCATGAGCGTGCTAAAGCTTCACAAAGTCGTTTTGAGGGCGGCAGTACAGATACCTAGGCTGTTCAAAAGCTACAATATGCCGTTGGTAATGTATAAGATACTGCCTATGCATGGATGAACTGATCTGCTGGGTCTCAACATTGACGAGGCTTCCTGTACACACTTTACATATACACATCGGCCTAGTGCACCAGATCCTTTGCCAAGACACAAGCGTTTCAGGCGTCCAAGATACCTAGGTGGACAACCCATATTATACCAATTTAACACCTGCAGAGGGAAGTTGCCAATCCATGTGCGTGAGGGTTGCATTTATAGGAACCTAACATGCTCACGCAGTCTACTATCGACCGGAATGACAAAGATTCTTGTACTCTTCTGACATGTGGCTTTACTTTTACTCACTTCCAGGTACTACATATTGGTAGGCCTCAGCTGCTCACAACGATTAGGGACCGAACTGAGTACATTTTGGTAGTGCTGCCTTGCTGCCTTGACATAAATTTCCCCCGTCTTGGACCATGAGTACTTCGCGAAAGCGCGTAATTACGTCTTGTGTACCATGTTACACTCGGAAGCAAAAGGTTGGCACTTTCCTACCTAGCTACGTCGTACCGGTATGCTGAAGACGATTTGAGGGCTAATTCTTTTCTTTTAGTGCAACCGGGGCTACCCGTGCAATCACTGCACTCGGCGGCAACGTCACGATGATTGCTTTTATTATACGAACAATGGAAGCCATCCGACCAGCCCTCCTGGTGATTCTGAAGTTCGAAGAATGGACTACGAATTCTCAGCCGACGGATTCCGTCACAACCGCACCTTGGGCAGGCTCACCACTAGCGGAATCATTTGGCTATTTCCAGAACAGCAGTCGAAATACCTTAGCGCTCATTCAAAAGGTGAGAAAAATCATTTCAACAATGTTTACCTCATTCACATGGTGGTTTTTAGGTAGGCTTAGCTCCTCGCGATCACTCTGGGGCCGTCTCTCCGACACTTAGTCCCGAGGCCGTGGATGAGGTGCATCGCAACCTCGAGCAGATGCCCAACCGACAGATTCTGGATATACTTGTTCAACACTTCGCCGCAGAGGTCAATTGGTTCGTGTTCCGCAGACTATGTTTGTTTTTGATTCTCCCTCACCTCATGACGGCTACACCAATTTTGCTATACTCTCTCCCCGTATGCAGTCTAACATCACATGTGTAGGATGGAACAGCTTGTACAAATACCCTGGTTCCTAGCGAGATATGAGTCATGGTGGATGGTAAAACCAGTCACGCTTGTGGCTGGTGTGGACTTTGCTGTCCTAATTCTACGCATCTGCTCTTACACCCTGCAGTTTTTGCCGTCTCCCGGTTACGCACTTGATACTATCCGCGGTGTATCGCTTGCTGAGATACGAAACCTATGCAATGAGACGGCCGATGGCCTCGAAACCATTAGCATAGCAGCCGATGCTAGAGGATCCTTGATTCGGGTCCAGTATGTGGCCTTCTCTGCACTGAAGTGTCGGGTCGATGCGAAGTCTGACGCATTCTGGGATGTTTTGGGTCGCTCCATCCGTATCGCACAGAATATCGGTCTACACTGCGACACGATCCACCCGAAAACAGGCACAGACATCATGGACCAGGAAATGGAACGTAGGACATATTGCAATTTGTTCATCCTGGACAGTTCGCTGTCTCGTCAGCTAGACCGTGTATCCTCGCATCAAGGTCGCCTACCTTTCGCACTCTGGCCAAAATTGGATCTAATTCGAAATAGCAGTGGGGACGAGACTTCAGATCAGAACCGTGATCTGCCAAACTAGCGGACTTCTGGAGGGATGTTGGACCAACACCAGGCACTGAATATGATATAATTGCGGCAGAAGAAAGGTACGACAGATTCTCGGAAGAGTACGTCTTCCAGCTTCCACCTATATTTTCCTTGAAGGATCCAGATGTTACATGGGACAAGAGGATGCCAAAACTCCCATTACAACGCAAACTCCTCCACTCGGCCATTAACGATTCGATCTACTGGAATTTTCGACCACTACTTCTAACGCAGCCTGTACCTCTGCCTGTTTACAAGTCTCTAATCCTGGGCTCCCAGAAACGAAAGCTCGCTGCCGCAGCGCTGTTAGCTCTGGCGAGCGTAAAGCAATTGCACGAGTTGCTTGGTAGCTGCCACACACGCTTCGCCGGGATCATCTTCACTACCTTCGAAGCTGCGGCACTGCTTGTTTTCATCTACACGGACCCCTCGTTCGAAGAGAATTGCCCAACACAGTACTTGCTGCCACCAGGTACGCTGAGGGCAGACCCATTACAGGCCACCCTAAGCCATACGACACGATCTGGCTGCATGCAAGCCGTCCAAGGTGCTCTGAAGCGACTAAAAATGCTGGCGGAAGTAAGCAGCATGGCAGATGTCGCTGCAACCACATTGAGCGAATTGTTGAACAAAGCCTCAGAAGCTAGGCCGGATACAGGGACGAGCTCGGATGAGTCGGGCCTGGAAACGAACCTGTCGAATGGTGTGGCGGGCACCACATCTGCACACGCGCCAGCAGCGCCAGCGCCGCCCACATCGACAACGTCGGAGACGGCCGCAACCTCCCAGGTCGGACCTACATTCACCACCTCCGGAAACGAAGCGCCATGGCTCTCGGCTGATATGCCAGATATGGGTTCGCTCAACAATCTGGTAGCCATGAGCGAACCACTGGCTGTGGGGGACTTTGCGGGTTGGCTGCCGTATGACGCGTCCAACTTGTATGCACACCAATCCTGGGTACCGGATGAGTCCCCTGATAACTACAGTCTTTGATAGAATATTGCTGCGATCTTTTGGGGCATGTCGTTGGTTTCAATGCATGCGGAGGTTCAATCTGTCTCGAATTAGATTCACACATTGCTTGTGGAGCGCCGTTGCTAAATAAACGTATTTTGTATTTTCAAACTACATCATATCGCCAGCTACTTGTCCTGATATGCCGTGATGTGAAGTAGATGTACATGGACATGGGCACATGACGACAGCTGCACAAAGACTTGCTCCAAACATTCTGTCGTGTCGGTGAAGAGACGTGGATGCAAGGCTTGTGATGTAAACTCGATACGGGGGGGGAGAGCTGATTAAGTGTACGGTTCGAGTTTGCTATTGATGACATTTATGCTATTATTCCTATGTCTAATTTTTCTGATATCTACACGTTTCGAGATACACGTCGTTAGATCGCAATCGCCTGGGAATTGCCCAACAAAGTCCGAACGCAGCAACACCGGCTCTGCAAGGGTAGATGGCTTGAAGCTCTGATCATTCTGTGGCTATAGGTGCAACACGAATATCGAAGAGCATATTGAGCGCATCTATGGTTCAGCCATGTTGAATAGCGTTTACCAAGGTGCATTGGTGCCATCGTACACATTCGGGCCCTTGGCGTTCTCCCAGCCCTTGACGAAGACCTTGGGCATCTTGCCGTTGACTTCTTGTCCCTTCTTGAAGATAATGTCGAGTGAGGCCTTGGCTCCCTCCTCTGGGGTCAGATCGGCCATGTCGCCACCACCAAGATCGGTCTTCAGCCACTGTGCAAGCAGAGTTAGGATTTATTAGCTCCCAGGACAAGGAAAGGGAAGAATACTTACACCGGGGCAGAGCGCCATGAACGTGAATCCTTCCTTCTCATGGTCGAGAGCGTACTGAACGGTGAGAGCGTTCAAGGCAGCCTTGGAGATCTTGTAGGCTGGAGCGGGGAAAGCAACAGCATCAGCGGCAAGGGTGATGGAGCCCAGAGTTGTCGACCTAGAGTTGAATCAGCATGTAGGAAACAAATTGCACATGGTACTGCGGATATAGTCTTACATGTTGACCACTTTCTTGAGAGAACCCGTCTGCAGGAGTGGAAGGAAAGCTTGAGTCGTCCAGTGCACACCCATGACGTTGACATTCATGCTGTTTTGAAGGTTTTCCCTAGTATTATGCAATTAGAAACCTTGTCTCTCGCCGACACGACATGAAGACGGAGAGGTAAACTCACATGGTTGCGACACCACCAAAAGCATACTCGCAGATCCCAGCATTGTTGACAAGGATGTCTAGGCCTTTGTCGCCTAAGATGCTCTTGGTTTCGGCGGCAGCCTTGTTGATAGAGTCCCAGTTGGTTACGTCCAGCTTGATCACTGAGACACGACCAGAAGACTCGGACGCAATCTTTTCAAGAGCAGGTGCATCTCCGCGTGCAGCAGCAATGATCTTGCTGACCTCAGAGCTAGGGAAAGCAACAAGCTGTTTGATGAGCGTCAGTCCGAGGTCACGGCACGCGCCAGTAATTACGGATTGCACGCCATACTTTCTGAGAGTGATGATTGGAATGTACGACGGGATGTGCCTGGATGATTTTGAGTGATAGAGTTACGGAAGCGGGCCGTAGTTGTATTAGTGCTGTGAATGTGTCTGTGCGGCTACCTCTTATCGATTATGCCGGTTTCAATCGAGAGTGAGGCACAGTTGTCGCAGAATGGTAAGCCAAGACTGCAAGTCAAGGACTTAACGTTTGTCAGCCGGTGTTACTGAATGGACTTTGCAAAACTACAGCCTTACTCCGCTGGAGGACCAAGTGAGCAAGCTACAATTCTGCTTTGGTCGTACCATGGCGCTTCTCACTCGACCTGCTAAAATGCCTCTGTCAGCAATCAGGCTGTGCATTGCCAAAGAGAGCAAGCGAGGCGTTTTCGAAGATCGGGGGCGCTTCGCTGTCATTTGCAATTGGCCAAGTTTAGGGTAAGCGGCATAACCCTTGCATATTGTAACCTTCCCCTAAGCCGACGCCCGACGCTATGCCCGACGCTACCGCTGTTGACAATGTGGTAGTCTAATAAGGAAACCTTTGTTTACAGTCGTGAATTGGTCTAGCGCGATCCGCTTGCGCCGACAACTCCACCACCGCTCTATACCAACCCGAGTGTACAGCCGACACGGCCGTGACCCACATGCAGATGGCCAAAGTGAATGCAGGTAGATGTTTCAAAGAAGTCATTATGTTGTGCTTTCTGCTGAAAAGATTCGACACTTAAGTTCATCAAGAACGGAGGTCGTGGTATAGCATCAGCAGAACAATGGCGAACGACAACGCTTGGGACCTCACCAATGGCCACGGCTACATCCTGGACCGCGATCGCAGCCACGCGGCGGCAAGCCGACTGAACCTTCAGTTTTACCTTTGGAAAGACGCTCTGAAATACAACATCCACCCTACCATCTCAGCCACCCTGCCCAAAACCGCTACCATCTTAGATGGTAGGCAGAATAGATAGATTCATGATGAGATGATAGAGGATCAGTCTCAGCTACGAGACTATAAGCTACCTGCCTAGCAAACATACTAGCAAATGTACTAGGCTCTAATAGGCCTAGCGTATACATACATAATATACAGGTATATATCTTAGAAGATATAGAATAATTAGATATAGGATAATTAGTAACTAACAGCTTCTTTTAGCTCTTAACTATAAGGCCTAGCTAAATCTACTCTCTATTTATAGCTTCGTACTAGAGTAGCAAATAGGTATAGATTAGATTATAGTTAAGTATTATGTAATATAAACTCTAAATTAACTTAACTTATACCTAAACTTTCTAGCTAAAATAGGTATAAGTTAAGTGTTGTAGCTAAGTAAACTTAAGAGAAAAGATTATATTAATTACTGCTCTTCTAATCTATTAGAAGAGCTAGCTTAAATATACAAACAGATTATAGAGAAACGTTAGTCTACTTTCTAAGCTTAGTTAGTTTAGTTACGTAGATTAGCACTTTACTGTTCTTAGGTATTAATACTACGATATTAAGTTATAGTTATAAATATTTAGGTTATAGTTAAGTTTATAGCATATAAGTATATATAAGTCTTAGTTAGCAATTTTTTCTTAATAGTAGAAGTAATATATTAGCAAAGTAATAGTTATTATAGTTATTTATTATAGTAGAGACGTATTTATATTCTAAACTTCTTAATTATATAGAGAAACTAGCTAGCGCCTAGCTAAGAGAATATAATAAGAAGAGCCTAAATTATATCTAAATAGGCTTAACGTTAGAAGTTCTACTTCTTAGCGCTTTCTAGCTAAGAGAATATAATAAGAAGAGCCTAAATTATATCTAAATAGGCTTAACATTAGAGATTCTACTTCTTAGCGCTTTCTAGAATAGCAAATCTAACTCTGCTCTTATATTTTAAAATAGATCTATTATATTATAATATAGCACTCTTACTATTATGTTTATATAGAGTTATCTTTTTATATATATCTTTTCTATTAATTAGATAAAGAAGAGACTATAAGAAGTAATATCTATTATCTAAGCTCTATCTAATAATAGAGTTTATATAGAATAGCTAAGCACCTATACTATAGCAGCAATAGTATAATAAGAGTAGAAGATCTAACTACTGCTATAGGCTAGAGAAGCTATTGCCTAAGAATTATAATAATACTCTATACTTCTTAGAAGAATTTAGAGTACTAGTATATAAGCAGCATTATATAGCAGTTATTAATCTTAATATATATCTTTAAGAATAGCATATAACGCCTGCAAAATCACGTAAGCAGATTATTATATACTTTAGTAACTATAATATCGTTAAGCTAAAGAATATTTAGCTTCTAGAGTAACCTGCTTACTTAATATAGAGACGTAATATAGGTTAAAGTTATACTTTTTTTCTTAATTTTTTTAAGTTTTTATATAATTTCTAGAATATTTAGCTCTTATAGAGTATTAAAATATATAATAAAGCTTACTATATTTATTAAAGTCTTTAGTAAATTACTAATAAAAGTTATATACTTTTAGTAATGCTAAGAAAAGTTTATTAACCTAAGTTAATAAAAAGAATTTCTTATAAGTATATAATCTACTCTATATAATAATATAGTATATAAAGAAATAGATATTATACTATAATACTCTACAGAACTAAAGATTATATACTGTTATAGTAGGTTATACTTAATGCAAAAGTAGTTAATTAAGTTATTAATCTCTAAACTGCTTTCTTCTACCTTTATACTTTGCCTAATATTCTATTAGGCTTAAGCTCTGCGCTAACGTACGTTACTCTACTATATATCTTCTCTATCTATAAGAGCTTAGCTCTCTTAAGCTTATTTTCTATAGTCTACTCTTTACTTCTATTTTACTATAAGCTTATTATAAGCACAGAACTAGGCCTAATAACTCTAACTTATTAAACCTAATATAGCAGATTACTATTCTTCTATAATCTTCTCTTTGCTTCTACGCTTCTATAAGCCTAATACTAGTATAGAACTAGACTTAATAAACTCTAACTTATTAAACCTAATATAGCAGATTACTATCTCTAAGTTTAATTACTCTATTACTAAAGATAGAGCTACTTTAGTGAGTAGGCTTCTTTCTCTCTAATAGTAGAATTCTATTATAGATAATAGCATATAAGACGCCTAAGACTGCGCAGACTATATAATATCTAATTACTAGAATAATATAGACTATACTCTATCTAGCGCCTTTGCTATTAGCTTCTATTAGAGATAACTGCAGTTATAGCTACTAAGCTAATTACTAGAATAACGTAGACTATGCTCTATCTAATATCTTTACTATTAGCTTCTATTAGAGATAACTATAGTTATAACTACTAACCTAATTACTAGAATAATGCAGACTATACTCTACCTAACGCCTCTTCTTTTATAATAATAGCAAACTCTTAGTAAGCTTCTCTAATAGTTAATAGAGTCTACTAAGTAGAACTAAGAATAAGAAACTTAAGCTACTCTTTTAATTAAAGTAAGAATTCTCTTAGCTTCTACTAGATATATCTAAGTAGAACTTAGATTAATTTATATAAAGCGCTAGTGCCTCTATTACTTTCTTATACTATAGTAAGAACTTATCTTAGAAGAAATATCTATTACGCTCTAATACTTACCTTAAGTTTCTAGCTCTAAGAGCTAGAGCGCTTTATTTACTCTATAACTTTATATTAGTAAGCCTAGATTCTAAAAGAAATATATTAGATATATTTATTCTATTTATCTTAATAAATCTTATAGTAACTCTAATACTAAACTAAGCCTAATAGGTATTTAGTAGATCCTAGTATTAAGATTTTCTCTTACTTATAACGCAGATAGCAACGTAGCTATAAAGTAAAGTTAGTTAATAAGTAGTATACTAAGCTGCGTGTAAACGCTTTCTAGAACTATAAAATACTAAGCTTCTACTATATTCTCTATTCTTTATACTTCTTACTTTACTATCTTCTTTCTTAGTTTTCTTCTTTCTTCTAGCATCTTTCTATATACTATTAAGACTATAGCTTATATTAACTACTTCTATAGATCTATCTCTGCCTATTTTAGCTATAGTAGTTAAGAATTTAGTAGTAGCAGTAGTAGTAAGAGGCTTTCTTTTAGTAGCTAAGGTTCTTAGCTTCTAGTATTACTAACTAAGAAGCGCGCTCTGCTTGCAGTTTACGTAGTACTTAAAGCTAGTAAGTCTTTTTTTCTTTCTTCTATTAGAATTAAGTTAACTAATATTTTTATAGTTATCTAACCTTTAGAACTAATTTAATTGCTACTACTACTACTTAAAAACTTAAAATATTAAATTTAATTACTGCTACTACTATTTAATAAACTAAAATATAAAATTTAATTACTGCTACTACTTATATAAAAGGTAACTAGTTCTAGAAACTAATTACTTTGCGCTTATACTATATATATATCTACTCTAAAGTATAGATACTATAAAGTAACTAAAGTATTTCTTTTCTTTTATTACTTCTTATTATAATAGGCTACTTATATGCTCTAGATATCCTTTGCTAAGTAATATATATCTAGCTCTATAATCTTTAGCTTACTTATATAATATTCTATAAGTAGAATACTATACTTCTAAGCTACTATCTATGCTAAAACTAAATAATTATATAATTCTATAAGAGTATACTACTTATCTTAACTCTATATATTTTACTATTATGTATAAAGAACTTTACTATATAATAGTAATAAGGCTTAGAGATATATTAACTAATACCTAATCTAATAGTTTGCTGCTTTTATTGCCTAGTTAATACTTTAGCCTAAATATATTAAGTTATCTCTTTGCATTAAGCATAGTAGCTGCTGCATTTATTAATAGAAAGCAGATATAAAAGATATCTAATTATAAGCTATCTTTGCTAGTAGCTAGGTCTCTATCTTAAAGTGCCTCTTATAGTTATAATAAGAATTACTGCAATAGCTACTCTACTAAGAATATAATATACTTAATATTTAGTATAGTACTCTCTAGTAGCATATAATTCTATTATATAATAGCTATAGCTAGCCTTTATAGACTAGAAGTTAGCTATTTTTATAAGTTACTATTATTATTAGTAGTATTCTAAGAATAGAAAAACTATCTATACTTTATCTATATAAAGCTTAGTTCTAAGTATACTATAAAGTTATACTAGCATAGCTAATCTATAATATCTTCTAGTATTCTTATTATCTATAAGTACTTATAAAGCTAATACTAAAACTCTAGCTATATATTTTATAGTTTTATATGCTATAGTAGATTAATTATAAAAATAAGATTATAGAGAGAACTTCTAGCTGCGCTTATATACTTACTATATTCTACTAGCGCTGCGCCTTAGTTTACGCAGCGTAGATTTCTAGTAGAAATAGTAAGTTATAAGATATTATCTTTATAAAAAAGTAATATAAGTTTTCTATATATATAGCTTACTAGGTTATAGCATAGTAGAAAGTACTATTACTATAATGCCTAAGTTCTATAATATATATATACTACTTATAGCGCTTAAGACTTCTAGCTATTACTATTAGTAATAAATATTATATTAATCTAACTTAGCTCTACTTTATTAAGTAACTAGTATAAGTTAAAATATAATAAACTTAGAATAGTATGCTCTAATATATTAATATCTAAGATATCTAGAAGCATAATATTACTATATCTCTTATAATATAAGATCTAGATATACTTTATCTTACTATATAGATATATTAGATAAGGCTGCTTCTATATATCTAGTTAAACGCGCTTTAAGAATAAGTATTAGATTATTAAGTATAGAGTATTCTTATACTTCTACTTAGTTTACTTATACTCTATAGTAAGAACTACTAACTATAGAAGCTTAAGTATATATAACTATATAATGCTCTTATATCTCTTACTCTCTTTACTCTCTAATAAGATAAAGTTAATAACTTCTATATCTCTACTCTT